GGCTGCAGCGAGGTGTCCCGCCACGATTTCCTGCTTCGGTAAGGATGAAGCTGAATGAGGGGCAAATTATTTTCCGAAGCTGTTTTTTCGCTTCAGAAGCAGTTTTTTGCAGTCGCAACGGGCTATGGTCTGCATGGGGAGCCTACTTCAGTAGCCTGTTAAGATTGAGGGGTGCTCCCAAATCTACTCGGATGCCTTTTAGTCTCGGCTTTGGCGATCCATCTATTGCCCATCGACTGGCTATCCTAGATCTGCTCTCTCCACGTCAGAGGACCGCCAGCATTATCAGATGCTACTCTCCAACATCAGCAACCTACAGACGAACTGGCTGAAGACATTCTTTAGGCTACGAGAAATTCGACAGTCGCCGTCATTTCTGCCACAGTCGATTAAGGAGTGGACCCAGCTTTTGTGAGACTGGCCTCTGCTCCAAGGGTACAGCGATGATACAGCTATTTCACTGAATCCTATCTGTTTGATCCATACGTCGCGAAGGCGACACATTGATGAGTCGCTTCAAAGTGGACTCCTCGCGAAGCAAAGCGCCCCGAGAAAGACCATCAACGAGATGGGCAGACGTGTTTCTGGAACATATGCACCATCTGAGAAATCAACTGGTCCATGTGTTCTATGATACGAATTCTGCACCGCATTCGCAGACGTAGCCATCGACTACCACTGAAGTTTGTGGATGTCTGAAGCGAGGGACAGGAACTATACACCTTTCCTGCTGTGACCTGTACGCTACGTGAAGACGAGCCACTTAATACCAAGGAAGTATCGGTATTTTCGGTTGCTTTCTGGTGCTTTACTATCAAATTGTGATGAAATAAGCGCATCGTTTGACCACATCATAGGACTTCGCGAGTCAAAGCCAAATTTTGAGGCTGGAAGTTGTGTCAACGCTATGTTGAAGCAACGTCCAGTTTCACACTCTAGCCCCATGACTTTGATGCTAAATCTTGATTTCAGATCGCTTGAAAACCCCGACCTCTGTTTTGAAAACCCCATTTCGATAAGCGCGAACAACTATCCCCACTATAACTTATTGCGGTGTGAAAACATGTATCACAAACAGATATACGGCGCAGATTGATCAGCTGTGATTACGGAGAAGACAGTACAAAACAGCAAAATTGGTTGGTTTTTTGAAGTCATGAAGCTTTATGGAGACATCGAAAGCTTTGGTTAGAAAAAAGTCACACAATCACTCTGAAAGCTTCCTTTGTTGCTGTTTTTAAGTCTTTTTGCGCCTAACTCCAAATGTTAAAAGCTTGAATGATTTTCTGCTTTTGCTTTTATTTTTGTGAATTTGCTCTGGAAAGAAATTCAACTTCCAAAATTCTTCTGTCATCGCTGTAATATCGCTATTCTAATGCTCTTTTTGAACCTCTAGTCATTGTGATGAAACTCCCCCTGAATAAGCAGAGGGGCTCAGGAGAGCTGAATTTCTAAAAACAAGTTCTATCCCTATTTTATTCTGTGGCTAGTCTCAATCGGCAGCCTGTCTTCGCTTCTGGAGCTCAAGATCGAATAGAGAAAATATGGTTGTACTTATGTAATGTATGAGAGTTGGACATACTGCTCTTGATGTGATCAGAACTACTGGCGCGATATGAAGGTACAGCGAATTTTTTTAGAAAAGTATTTGATGGTCGCGCGCAAAAATGATTTTCAGGAATCTCCATTTTAATTGCGCATATATACACGATATAATGATAGTAATTACAAGGAATGAAATTATCCAAAATCAAAAATTTGAAGTTGCGAATCGATGGTGAAAACATGATGGCTATTTGTACATGTGTTACAACAATAAATCATGCAAAAAGAAAGAAGAGAAAATTATCGAAAGACAAAGCACGGGATCGAATTCTCCGCTCACCACCGTAACGATAACGAATTGAGCAGATAACGCGCCAAAAACAATGAATTAATGAAATATTGCGCGAGTCCGTAGGATTTCAAGCGAGTCTTAAAATTTATGGCCAATACATATCAAATTCCTGCTGTGGTATCCAAACAGTTACTTTCAAAATGTCTTCTTGGAATAAATAGTCCATATAAAATCTAGCGTTCTGCATGCAGACTATAAAAAGGAACCAGTTGCCGAAAAAAAAGAACTACCAAGCTGAAATTCTTTTGACTGCAATAAAAAAAGATATTGGCCCGTAGTAAAGCTGCTTCATTCGATCTCAGCTGAATAAAATTCCAATTGAGGCTTCGATGAGTCAGCTTGCCTTCAGTCGAGCCATTGATTGATATTGCCAACCACCCACGATGATAAGATGGAGAGCGCCACGTCCATGCAAGTATACGAGTCAAGACGAGTTTGCCAAACATTCACATCCACGTCACTGGCACTAGCGGCGGGGATGTGGCCGCACTTGTTGGATCTTATAAGTCTCGTCAGCATCACTGTGGCTCCTCACCGACATGTTAAAATGACGTGTATCGTAAGTTACTTAGGAGCAACTTACAAGAAGTTTCTCTGCGTGTCATCATTGCACACTATTTACATCAATTGGTGGTCTAACTGAATGTGAACTGACTGAAGTAAGGTAGACTACCTCGTCAGGTAGACGGACGGACAGCTGAAATCTCATTTTGCATTCTTACAACGTGGTGAGCTGGTGATAGGTAGTCTACCTTACTGAACCTTTGATGAGGGCCTCAGTTCAGTTCACCTGAACTGAATTAGCTTTACTACGGGCCATTCTATAATATGCATAAGAGCTGATAGAATCTAGGGAGTATATAGATACAAATTAAGTTCTCGACATTCTTAACGGTGCTAATACAAACTCTTACTTGGATGTAGTGGTGAAATGTAAAGAAAACCTTTCTCTGCATCTTGTTTACCATCTTGAGACACTTTTCTCTCCGTTAGTTTAGTACTACGGTATAAAGTTTGAGAAGTAACACTAATTTTCCTATATCAAAAGCTTTAGAAATCCCATAACTTCGTTACTGAGTAAGGAAGTCACAGCAGCTGATCTAAATGAATTTTTTTTATTCTTCAAATGGCACATCCAGAAGCTGTTGTAAGTGTACTTTGAAAGCTGTTTTCGCACGGAAAAACTTGGTCTCGAAAACTTGGTTACACCACCCATACATAGCACCGCATAGATTTTGTATTTGAAAATCTAAGCTTTCAGTTTCTAAAAATTGAATGGCAATTCATCATTTTTCAAGAGCAATGCTCGGCCATCGGGCATCTCAAATTTTGGTGGTGCTGGGAGTAGACCTGAAACACTTCACCCCATCCATTAAAGGCAATGTCCGGGCAAAAACTCGATTTTGAGATTTTGTGCTTATCTGGGCCTATTCGTCATGCTGAATCCGAAAATCCTCACCGGAAAGCGCGAAAACGGCGAAAAAGGGCCCTAACGCTGGACGGAAATCAGCAAGTGGGCGGAGTCTTCCCCAATGTGGATTCACGCTCCAAGCTTCCGGAGCGATCTTCTCGATTCCAGTTTCAAGTCATGTATTCGCACCTGGCCCGTGGAGATCTTAGAGTGCTAGCGGAAATGAGAAGATCGCTCCAGAAGCTGGGACCGCGAAATTCACAGTGGGATGACCCCGCCCACTTCTGATTTCCCTCCCACGTTAGAGCCCTTTTTCGCCGTTTTCGCGCTTTCCAATGTGGATTTTCGGATTCAGCATAGTGAATAGGCCCGGGTAAGCACAAAATCTCAAAATCGACTTTTTGCCCGGACACTGCCTTTAAATCCTGAAAATGCTTCAAAAATCCCATTACTGTGCCCATTTAACGAAAGGTAGCGGAGCTGGTGGAATATTGCCAAAATTTGACAATGTTCATTACTGCCTAAAGCGCGCAGATATTTCTACCGTAATGTGCAGAAATGAAGAGCGACAGCGACTCGTTCTGTGCTAAATCTAAGCGAAGTCAGCTCATAAAATGAAACTAAGATATCCACTTCATGCATTAAAAGCGAGTTATCAACAAATTAGTGCACATGTGCAAGTTGGGACATGTGTACTTACAATACGAAAGCAGGAAGTAAATACAGTAGGCATGATGTAGATTGTACAAGTGGATCTTTAACACCCATGGATATTACAAGTCTTGAAATGCAGACTTATGGTGAAGTATGAATGACAGTTTCCATATGCGTGAACGACTCGAGTAAATGATTTGAACCTCTAGCTGTGACATTCAATTCTAGAATTTTTCCAAGATCTAGAGTTATGGAAAAACTGCGAGTTTACGTACGGATCATAAGATGAGCAGAAGACAAGGCGTACGATGTTTGGGTTCAACAGAGCAGTTCTTGCGATAATTCTATTTATATCAAGAAAGGCGTGGCTTAGCGATGGGTTCAAGGTCTTTCCTGGTAGAGATAAACTATTCTGTAAAAAGACTATATCAAAATCTCACTGTGCATCACTTTCATTCAAAAGGCTGGCCTAAGCCCGATCAACTTTCTGATGCAAGACTGTAAACTGGAGGTGAATGATTTTGATTTTCTCTAGTCCATTAATAGTTTGATCTTGTGGTTGTTTGATACGAGCGATAGAGATACCACGCGGGCGGCATTTGGCCGCGGACCAGAATACTGGATGATTTACGAGCCGCTTGACTATGATGATGTGTGAATACGTGACTACGCTACTTCCTTCTAGAAGCAAACTTTATCACTGATATGTCGCGCATTTCATCCCTTTGATAATTGCTACATGCATAACTCGGAAAGTTGAAAGCACCTAAAATAATAAACAAGAGAGAATAAGGTAATTGTAAATTGAGCGAATCAGCTCGCCGTTCAACGATTGAGAAAGGTGGAAATTTCAAAAACTCATACGTAAGTAATGGCACTAGCCATGAAACCGTGCGTTAGCGTACTACAAGTAAAGGACAAACACCGGTCTCTTTTATCTGATCATCGATCCATACAAAATACAAAAAAGGACATATAGAACGTACACTTACCGTGCATGATGCATTGATTTCACTTTTTTTAGAATGGTCTAAATCACCATAGTTGTGTGACTGCGCAGAAAATTAGGGTATTTTTAATTCAAACAAGGTCTTCCTCTTTCGTATTGGCACTTAGCATTATTCAAGAATAATGGAGACAATTTAATTCATGCATCCGACGTATTTTCTTAAATTTTTTCTCATGACATAATAACAACTCCAACTTTCTGTCAAGATATGATCACAGCAGGAATTTGGCGAGGAGGAGCGTGTACCACCCGTTCGATAGGAGATTGTGTCGTGACTTCGTCAATTTTGTCCCGATGTAGATGCACCCAAGGTGTTACTGTAATTGCAGAGTTACCAGCAGTAAAGGGAAATTTACCAACACATACCATGTTGCACACACTTTGCACCGGGTTCACCATGACATTGTCGGCCACCCCAAGAATAGTTTCCTAGCTTGATTTTACATGATGGACAGTTTACCTAAATTTTATGCATGACCAACCTTGATGTTAATTAGGTTCAAAAGGTCATCGTATGAAGGCATGCCTCAGAACAAAAACTCCTAAAAACCATAACTTACCTTGCCCTCATATTCAGATACATCCATCCATTTCATTGGTTCAATCAAGTAACCAAACTCGCAATTCTAAAACAAACGCATGTTCTCTTTAACGCGAACCCTAAAAAAAAAGAATACCTTGCCATCGCAACGTTTGTGCGTGACGAGGTGTTCGCCAAAGAAAAGCACATGACGACACTTTCCACATCTGAAATACGAGGAAGACATTAGTAACCACTGAAAATGATGTCATGTGAAGGTTTTCAAAGTCAAATGAATCCTTTTTGGAAAAAAATGCAAAGTACGAATGAAGCACTTAGGAGTATTGTTCATAAGAATTCGAGGGGAAGAATTCAATTATTTCCAGAATAGACAACAGAGTTACCATGATAATCCAATAAGGCTTTCTAAACTAACCACTTACATTGAAACGAGTAAGTTCCAACATTCTGATCAAAACAACTTTCCACAACAGAAGAAAGAGGTAAGTCGCACCTGAATTTACTACCTCGCGATTTGCCCGTGTTCTCTGCGTCGACATCTCTGACAAATGTGGTCGCTCGCTCGTCAGATCCTTCAAACAAATTTTATGGAGCAATACGAAACTAGCGGAATTACAGTACATTGTAGGCCGTAACTGTAGAAATGATGTCATATTTTTTATTAGAGACAGCCGAAAAGTCATAAGACTGGGACTGGGTAGCCAAATTTCTTTGGAAAAATTTTTTTGGTACGTAGTTTTCAAAAGATCTGGAATGATATACACGAAAGTCCCCGCGAAATGGGCTTTTCGTGCGAATAAAATGGGCTTAGTCCATGCGGTGCGATAAGATAACGCATTTGCGAATCCATTCATTCCATACAAAAATGCTTAAGCAAGCCTTTCTCCAACTTGCCTCAACCTGTTTACTCACTCTTGCAAACTCATTTCTACCAAGTGGTCGGTATCTAACTAGGGCTAACCTAACATTACGATGACAGTCACATGAATATTCTATGCTTTCACACTTCATTATATATCAAAAAATGCCATTGTTATCGATAACTATGCATCGAAAACATCTTCAAGAATAGAATTCACATAATATCCGGGCCTTCGCTTCTCAAGACTTCTATGGATCTGCTTTAAGTCAAATTCGTATGTAGAGCTTTCTGGGGAAAGCAAACTTGGCTAGACTTGCACTGCAGTCTGTGAAACAAAATGCTAATCTCGTAGGAAACCTTGCCCTACAACCCAAAGGGTTCTTTAAATCAGAAAACTAGAGTCGCAAAGGATGACTTCTCAAATGTTCTACTTTAGCTCTTCTTTGTCTTTCAGCATTAATATTTATATCTCTAAGTAGTTGAATATTGCTAGTAGAAAATTTTTCACAAAATTTTTCTTCCTAGCTAGCGGCATTTCAGTAATTCTTGCGACCAATCTCAAAATCGCGTTTGAAATGCCGTGTTTGAGATTCGGTTCTACGAGAATAGTCAAAAGATAGCTTCTGAGTAATTGTATTAAAACGCAAATCTTTCTTATTTCCGAATACAAATCATGAATTTAGTTTTGGTTGATAATTTGAAGAGTTAACAAACTTTATTCGATTTACATAGGAATATTCGCATCGACCTGATATTTGGAAGCATTCGAGTTTGTTAGCGAATATTTTTGCGAATTTAACCTTCTTCCATGATTTTTATAGCGTTTGTATGACTTTAGAAAGAAACACTTATTTCAGACTTCATAAAAGACAGGAAACTTTTTCCACTCACTTGTTACCGCAAAATGAGCTGAGGAATACATTCTCAAAAAATCGCCATCAGAAATATGCAAAAAGGTCAAAATGGGCTTAGTCCCAGCTCACCTTGCTGCTGGGAGTAAAATGGGCTTTAAAGTCCATTTAAAATGGAGGTGAATTCCATTTTGCCCCATTCTAAATGGACTTTTCGCATGATTCTTTCGCAAGCGAGAGCTCAAGTAGGGTTGAATCATTTTCATCACACCGCTTTGCCTCGTGGTTGCGATGAGATAAAAATTTTTGGATAACGCTAGCGAAAATAGATTCCGACCAGTTTCTACCGCGAACGAATAAAATGGGGTTTGGAAGTCCATTTTCCTCCATTATGGACTTTCGTGGATATCATTCCTGGTCTGCATGACTGAGCACAACACCATTTCAACACAAAAATTTTAACATTTGAACGGGAAGAATGAGGGTATTCATAGGAAGAGAAAGAGCACCTTGACAAAAATAATATGCAAAATTCGCAAAGTTCGCATCGTGCTTGGCTCTTGAAGGATTAGCAAAATAGAAGCAAATCGAGATAAACATTGGTATGAAAACCGTTGCAAAAGTGACGAAACAAGCTTCTCGTCAGTTTTATTGCTGTGAAGCTACCTATAAAAGCTAAATGCATACGAACAAATGCAAACAAATGAGGAAAATAAAAAAAAAATAATATCCATCAGATTTTCTAACCGTGAGCTAATAAAACATAGCAAAGGCATATTTTTGAGCTAACGGAAAATTGGCGTAGCTTTCTCTTCGGAAGCTAATTCTTCTCATACAAAACCATCATAGCGAAATATGCAAAAAAAGCGTTGCGATAGCATAATCAATAAAAAAAGCAGAAATGCATCTAGCATTCCTAAAAGACATGTGAGCAGATAAGAAACCGAATGTAATAATATGAATATCTAAAAATTCTATGTGTGCGTTTTAGCAATCATTGGAAAACCATATAACACTACTACCTTGTTGACAAAAGAGCACCGCATCAATGAGCATTACTCGCGAAATTCACTTACAAACCCGAAAGATAAATCTTCATCGACCAAGTGCGATGAAGATAAGTATCAGACTAGACAACTTTGGCAATCATGAGAAAAAACGAAAAAATAAAGTAACAGAACCAGATTTAAATGAACATAAACATTTACCAAACAGCCTATACTTAAGCGAACACTAACCCTTGTTTGGCACGTTGCCACTGGCAATGCACCATTCCTTGTAATCACGACTATTTGACAATGTCGCTTCGTCGAGCTGATAGCCAAGTTTCTCGTATAGTTGCAGCTGCGCATAGAAGCCTTCATTTGGACTGAAATGGAAAATTTTTTCCGCCTAAATGTTGTCCCAAGCAGGTACTTACTAAGCTATTGGCCGAGACTTCCTGATAAATTCGAGTGCCTTCTCTGGAGGGAACTTGAATTTTTGCATAACGTAGGCTGCTACTACGGTGACACTGCGTGAAACGCCAACTTCACTGTAAATGTGGCAAAATAAAAACTCGAAAATGATATTTTGCAACAAAAAAAAAACTCACCAGTGTACTAGTACATTTCCACCGGTTTGTACAGCGTTTGAGATAAACTCTACGCCTTGAGCCAAAAGTCCCGTTCCAAGCAGGTCCTGATTGGGGAGATCCATAGCGAAAAGAAATTGGTACTCGATGTTAGGAAGACGTTTATCCATCGGAATCGCCACTGCTGACACCGTGAGGACGTGCGTAATCTGTGAAGCGCAAGTGAAGGAAGATAAACTAAAGTTTGAAGGAAAGTAGTCTGCAGCATTTTATTCGGGCATACCCTGAATTATTTTTGATTTATGATCGGAAATTCGAAGTCAGTGCTTTTGCTGGTCCAAAAGCCTAGAACAAACCTTGATCTCAGCGACCATAGCAATGCCCCATGCCACTAACCCGTGTCCCTAACAAGGGAAGGATACTCGGTCGAAGTGGCCATTTAGAATGAGCTGCATATTAGGAAACCGTCCTCCGTAAGGCAAACTCAAAACTACTTTCGCTAGGTGCCGAGCGGTTTTGTGGGGGAATTACAAGGCCATTTTCTTCCGGCGCAGCCAGCGCACCCAGTGATGAGCGAGGCGCTAGAATAACGCAGCAGTGTGGCAGTGTAGCAGTGGCAACGCAGCGGACTACGATGCAGATGGTCGAGGATTCGAGTCCTGTTGCTGCTGTTTTGTTTTGCAGTTCTGTAAAAAGTCTATTGCGTGACAGCAAACAAGAAATACTATTTCTAGGCAGTTCAAACAAGCTATTTACTGCAAAAAAGTCACTATTTCTACAATAAGCCATAATCTTTTACAATATGTAAATCTCTGGAAGTTATGATGTCACAACAATGGGTTCAAAGGATATATTAACATGTATGGAATACAACCACAAAATGCTCAAAGCAGAAGAGCTTCTTACAACGCGCGCACTTGCAAAATTGCAATCGATTCACATCCCATTTGGCTCTTGATCTGAACTTTACCTTGCATCATAGGGATTCCATCCTTAAGATCTTATCGCTCATTTACACACAATTTTTGCTCGCCTCGATTCAAAAATTTGCTTTCATACCCATGGATGCAGCCGGATGCATTGTTAATAAATCACTTGAATCCCTTGTGTGACATCATAACCTCCACAGATTTACATATTTTAGAAGATTATAGCTTATTGTAGAAATACTGACTTTTTTGCAGTAAATAGCTTGTTTGAACTGCCTAGAAATAGTATTTCTTGTTTGCTGTCACGCAATAGACTTTTTACAGAACTGCAAAACAAAATAGCAGCAACAGGACTCGAACCCTCGACCATCCGCTGCGTAGTCCGCTGCGTTGCCACTGCGCCACTGCCACACTGCTGCATTATTCTAGCGCCTCGCTCATCACTGGGTGCACCAGCTGCGCCGAAGGAAAATGGCCTTGTAACACCCCCCACAAAACCGCTCGGCACCTAGCGAAAGTAGTTTTGAGTTTGCCTTACGGAGGACGGTTTCCTAATATACGGTTCATTCCAAATGGCCACTTCGACCGAGTATCCTTCCCTTGTAAGATAGAAATTCGGAAAGCTTATTCATTTCTTCTTCACTGAGTATCAAACAACGATTACTAAGATCGGCTGCATTTTGCTTTCTTGACTGATTTCCTGATCTTCCAGTTATGAGCTAGTCTCTTAAGATAGCATTCAAACATCAGCAGCGGATTCCGACTCATAAATATAACTTCTTTTTACTCCGCTCATATCAAAAACGTGTCGTCTGATAAAGTCCAGCAAGCATTTTCCTTTCCAAACTTATAGTCTCATTTTCAATTCAGAGATTTCTATACGCGATTCACTGCACGCAGAAAGAGAGGGCGTCACTACGGACACTGTCGGTGTCTCGGATCGAGCGCTCTTTCATCCCTGTTGCCGTCTGCTTTCTCTCCCTGCCACGAACTATCTTAGTCGGACGCAGCGGCGTCCAGTCTGTGCGTGCACTGAATCGTCTGTACCTGGTTTTTGATCATAAAGTGAGAATCACGGTAAAACTTTAGAAACTGACACTTTGAGCATCAAGTTTGGTATATTTGTATGCATGGAGAGTGGTAGCAAAATTCAAATTTCTCAAGAGTCAAAAATCTCGCTGTCCATGTAACGATCACGTGTTGCAAAAACATCTTCGGTAGGCCAGATAGCAGGGCTACTTCTTGGAAATTCAATCGGAAAGACAGATTTGTCTATCTACTACTTGAAATTAGTGTTTTAGCAAAATTTCGTTTTCCTGTTTTTCGCCAGTCTGGAGAAATCTCGCCATGAGAAGTCCATATCTGGCCTTTCCACGCATAAAAATGGCGAACATGAGCTTATTCCGAAATTTTTCAAGTCCGCATTCAGTGGGCGGGGTCTGGAACGAAGGGATGCGGAAGACTTCCGGCGTATTCCTTAGGATGCGGACCTGGAAAGCTTCAAAAAATGCTCATTTTCGCCACTTTCATGCGCTGAAAAGCCCAGATAAGGGTTTTTTACGGCGGAAAGGCTTCGAACATGATAAACTTCAAAGCGAGATTTTCCAGGACCTGCTGCCTTCAACTCACTTCCTCACAAAATCTTGAAAAGCAAATCAGGCAAAATGCCGGAAGATTTGACTAGTCTATTATTAGGCGGTTTTGTTTGTGTTAGTTTGAGAATTTTTTCGAAGGGTAAGCAGATCGTATGCACTTTTTGTCGGTTCCTAATTCTTCTTCCTGTAGGGTTTGATCTGCAATCAAGAAGAACACGAGAGAGGCTTGAAAACGTCCAATAGAAGGTAAACATCGCAAAAAATTCCTTTAACAAAGCTATGACGTGAGATTTTCTTTCTATTCCGTCGACCTTGACTACAAACCTAGTTTTTTTCTGGTGCTCTCTTTCTTTGGCACTTGAACTTTTGTATGCAACTATTTTTGGTAGATAGAAGCTTCTATTCAGACTTTTAAGAGATTGTATTTCTTATTGTCTGGGTAGACAGAACATTCCATTACTTACACAATGCTTACTAAGAAACCATTTTTTTGGAGTGCTGTACCCAGATGACGTGATGCGATGGTGTCAAGAAACCGAAATTTTCATTCTCACTTTGAAGCAAGAATTTGATGTAACTAATGAGATTTTGATTTGCATTTCGATTGAGAATACCTCTGAATCAAAGCAATTTACAATTTGAAAAGCGCTAAAATTTAAATTAAACACAACTTTCGCTTTAAGAAAATTTGTCTGCATAGATAAACGTTAGCATAAAGTTCAACAAGCTGAAATCGCGTCTTACTTTATCCGTCCGCACACGAGCATTGCTTTCTTGTGAGATCTTAGCAAATAAAAGCTGCCTCGTCAAATAACAAAACAAAAGCTTTTTTTTTCAATATAAAAGTAAGTGTTAATAAAAATGAAATTATCTTTTCGGATTCAGGGAAACTGTTGGATTTTTCACTCTTACCGAAACAATCAATAGCTGCTTTTTTCCCCCAGAGTATTCATGACAAGAATGAAATTTACCTCAAGCTTACGTAAATCTGTTCCATTGAGCACATCTCTTGCACCCGACAGGTATACATGATCCGTTATCTTGTCTATCATATCTGTAAATTCTCTGATTTAGTATGCGTATCGAAGTGAGCACAGTAAGCAAAAAAAATATGTGACACGGAAGAATTATGAGAAGAATCTTCTTCAAAGAGTGACAACCACGATTGTCATTTGCAAGCAAAACACAGTTTACAATAGGACTACGCAGTCAAAGTCTGCAGAAACGTGAGCCTGCTGCTAATCATGCATTCTAATCAGAGCACCTTAAGAAACAGAAACTGTCGACGTGCAGCAAGTGATAAAAGCAATGGATTCCAGGCGTTATGTGTCACCAGGTACACAGTAAAGTAATCGATATGATATAACAAGTATTTGTCTATAGAATAAAAGCTCTGAAAAATCAGTTTACCAGAAAACACTCTCTAGATACAGAAGAAATGAGCAGTCAATATTGCAAGCGAGAATGTAGAAAACTAGTTTAGGAATACCACACTTTTGCAGCAAAAATATCACTGATAGGGAGACTACGCAATCAAAATCATTCTATATTGAATTATACTAAAAACAAATGAATTTCTAATTTCCGTTTCTTTCATATACTAGACGAAAATTAGATAAAGATTACGATCTTCCCAAAAAGTCATCAGCAGTGAGAGAAGATCGTCAAATATAATCAAAAAATAAATTGGAAATCAAACTAACGTCAACCATTCTTTTCTTCCTTTATAATTGGGATAATCTCAAACTTGGTAACTGAACCTAATCAAACTTTTAAATTAGTGACCTGCTAAAAGGAGTACACAACCGCTATATTCTTTTTGTCGAGAATCGCTCATGGCCTGGATTTTTAGATTTTGATACTTTTCTGAAGAAAAACCTAAGTGAAACGCGAAGAATGTCGAGAAGCTGGATGAACAATGTTTGCATGAAAGAGCAGCCGGTAGTAGTTGCTGAGAAAATGTTGAGTAGGACATATCGACAAAGCTTGAAATACAAGAAAAACGCACATGAACTTGAGAGGCGCCATTTTTTCCGATAAAATTTCAAACATATCCATTTTCTGGACCCAGTGGGAGAATAAATGACAAATCGAAGGCATAAATGATATAACATTTCACGAAGAATACATTGGGATGAACCAAATGTTCACAAGGAGAACAATATAGGCGTGCAACATGTAACAATTCAAAATAACACTTTTTTGTTGATTGGCCTTCATTTATTAATTAATAAATTTAGCCTTTTCAGATAGAGGGGTGATAAACATGACTTCTAAAACAATTTTTATTTTATTTTTATTTTTTAGTTATTGTTCAGGCACCATTTATTGCGAGTTGCTCGGGAATGCGCTAGAAATCATTAGAGAAAAATTTATTTTAATAACTGCATAGTTTCAAAATGTGTATTCTCTTACATGATGTAGTCATCCAGCACTAAAAAGCATAAAACGACTAGGACGCGTTCGCCACAGATAATTTTGAGCAAAGTAGAGGGATGATTATTCATCCTTAGGCCTCGGACAGAGTCCACGCGATTTTATCGTCGCGATTCTCATTCGCTTTCATTTTACATTCAAAAATTCCGAGCTGGAAAAGTATCACAACCGAAATGGAAGCTGATCGGCATGCAATGAACTCGTAACAGTTGTCTTGTAGCGATTGAATCGCGACGATCAAATCACGTGAACTCTGTCCGAGGCCTTAGATGAAGGAGATACTGGGGCGATTTCAGAGACTGCACCACCTCCAGCACCACTGACAAAAGCGTCTGCGCGATTTTAGCATGAATTTTCTCCAACCTCCAAGACGGCTATATAAATAAAGATTGAATAGAAAGACGAGAGTGAAGAAGGCACTTGATAAAAGCGGCTTTCATTAAAAAAGCTTTTCTTAAGAAAGAAATCGTGCCTGCTCGTCAGAGCTCAAAAACAGCCAAAAGTCCAAAAAAATTATGGCGTCTGCGAATGACTGAACCGTGAAGCTTTTTTCTTTCACTTCTTAAGATTTCATGTATTAGGTTGTCTCATAAATTTTTCAATTTTGAATTTTTAAAGCAATAAGTCACACACTTCTCAATTTTGATTAAGATGCACGGTACTGTTCGATAGAGCAAAGCAAGCTCTACAAGATGGATTGTAAGAGTTCGCACCAGCTTTAGCACATCACTAGTTAAAAGTCATCTGACAGTACATTCATATGCGCCGTCGCTGTGTTTGTTTCTGTGCTAAAAACCGAGAAAACCAAGATTTTCAAGATTCCAAAGAAGCGTTGCTGCGCTTTCTTCACTCAGGTAAAGTATGCTACAGGCTTTAGAAGTACATTCACAGATTTCCAGCTTTCTGTGAGCTCTAGTTCCCGAGAATGTTAGTTTTAACATAAAATACCTTAGCAAAAAAAGCTAAATTCGGTATTTCTCAAAGCTAGCGCTTCCAGGAAGCTGAAAATTTATCGATGTATTACTAAAGGCCAGCAGTATACATTTACCTGTTTGAAAACAGCGCAGCATCGCTTGTTTGAAAGCTTGAAAATCTTAGTTTTTTCGGTTGCTAGCACAGAAACAAACACAGCAACGGCACATATGAATGTGTTGTGAGTGTATATGAGTGAGCGAGTTTCGGATCTGGCAAGTTTTCTTTGGACAAAGTTATAGAGAATTTGCAATTTTTTGGAGAAGTGTATGACTTATTGCGATAAAAAGTCAGTTGAAAAGACTTATGAGACAACCTAATATATCTTCTACAATGAGGTGATCTTATGGCTATTCTGGGCAACTAGGTAATTTATAACTAGAAAAAAATTGCAGAGCAAACCATCATGAGAGAGAAATATGGCCTGAAAGTCGGAATATGAAATGGAGCCATTTTCTCAAGCTAAGTCCCATAATAAAATTTAATTGCGCTTTTCCGCCGTCTGGCCAATTTCTTGGAGTGTGAACAAACTAAGCATTGGGAACAATGCTGTAGAATCGGGATAAACACAACTACCAAAGTAACGTTGAAAATCAAAGTTGAGGCATTTGAACACCGCAGAAGTGCATGGCTGGGAATCAATGTCATTGATTTCTCATTAGAGACAGATCCCATGCATTGCGTGCTTGTTTCTAGCAAAAATACAACAGCAAAAAATTCACTTTATACTGTAAAGGGGATGAATGCCAAACAAGCAATATGTGTTTGCTACAGGAAAGTGATGCAACACAAATGATGGTTATATTCAAAAACATTGAAAAACGAAACCATGAAGAATAAACCAAGCGCAGACCGAAGAAAACCTACTGAGAACTTTGAATGGGTGATGCGTACGACTAGCTATAAAGTGTGCAAAAAGTAACTGTTGACCGCCAAAGAAAACGGAAAAACAGTGACAAGAGGCAGGATTAGCAGTGAAATTCATTGTAAGAACTTTGAATGTTGTTGAGATTGCAAAGGTAAAGGTCTGATAGAGCGACTTTGCACCTGATAAGAAGATAATCCCGGTAGAATGTCACGATGTATGAACTATGCTCAACAAACTTCAGTTCATCGTCATTACGATTTCAATGAAAAAAACAATTCAGTATTGAGATTCAGTCAAAAACATTATCTTCCACAAATGTAGCTAAAAAGCACATGGCTCAACTTGATCTGCATCTGATTAAAAAAGCTAATTTATTCGATGAATTCTGAAAAAAAAGCGGCAGATGTTGCCGGGGCAAGTGAACAATAATGCGAACTATAGTAACTCAAAACTATGAAGAGAAACGTTTGAAGGAAGTAGCAACTTGGGAGAATAGATCGTCGTTCGTAAATTCTAATGGTTCGAAGTGACTGTTGCCTTAGAACACTGAGCCACGATACATGAAACAAACATAAGAAGATGAGCATTGCTCATGGTGATATGTCATTTGATTACATAACTTTGCGTCAGATAACGTCATCGCTTTCAAGTAAGAAGGAGCATAAAAATCACATAGAAGTGAGGGGCTAAACGATTAATTCCAAGAAAAAGCCAAGAAGTATATACATTTCCCTTCCTCCAACTGAAGCCAAAGCAAAACCAAAAACAATCAAGAAACTGAGAATTACATAAAAGTCAGATCGATAAAAATTGGGCAGCACAAGATATCTTTAGCCAAGAATAGTTTGTAAAAAACAATGTTGAAAACAAAATGTGGAAGTCATATTCATTGCAGAGGGTAAAAACGTTTACAAAGACAGGAATTGGGAAATAAAGTGCACTGGGGGACTGCAATTACCATAATCATAGCAGAAAGTGTATTTTGTACGATCGTTCCAACAAAGGCATTATTGCCCTCTCATAAATGAACAGAAATCTTGCATGTTTACATATCTGAAGAGATTGTTTAGTCTTCTTCAGTCGATATGTGGTTCATTAAATGATCGCGAATTCTAGTGATAACAATGCGATTTGGGAATGGCAAAGCAAAATCGATTGTTTGGGCTTCTACAGATTCTAATGGTCACAAAAAGCATGCTAGGATTTATCTTGAGCGAAGAAATGGTTCCATCTTGCCATTCATGGCCAAATCTACACTCGACGAATAAAAAGGGACACGCCGTTGGTTTCATACGTCGTAAATGAAGGGATGGAAAAGGAAAAACAGGGACAATCTCTTTTTGATAAACATGAAGGAGAAAGAAGGTAAAAAGAAAACAAAAACAATCCAAAAAACTACCTAGTTGAAATAGTCATATATAAGTTGAAATTTTTTTCGAAGTTTTTTAGTCGAGTTTGAACGCAGAAGGGGGAGCAATGAAAAAGCAAACAAAATGTTTCATAAGAAGAAATGCTGGAGAATCAGAAATATAAATTCTCTCCATGGATGTTTTCAAAACAGCGCATTACCTTATCTCCAAGCAGATCGCGCTGTTTGTGTAATCTAGAAGTTTTTTCGATGCGAATCGCAACCACTCAAACAGCTGGCTGAACAAACTGTCAGAACGAACATACCACCACTGCATCATGAAATTGCACGAATAACTCTATGTGCGCACGTAAGCATGAACATGCTAATGGGGACTAGAATTTTGCAAAATGTAGGGATTTGTAAAGAGCAAAAGGAACGAGAAAAAAATTAGTGATTTCTGTGGTCACGAACATCCATTCATAAGTGTACTAATAATAAAAACTTTATTGAGATTAATATAAATCAAATAGAATGATAAAACTCCATCTTCTGTCAGGCACTGACAAAAATGCGAAAAAGACCTACAAGGAAACTACTACCCACAGACCTACAAGGATACTCCTTGTCCGTGGTTTTTTGAGATGAGTTGTATAACACTACACCGTCTTAAACTGCTGATTCCGAATCAGACTTTCGTTTCTGCTGATTATTTCTATGAAAGAATTCATGAGATTTTTGCGCCAAGTTTGACCGCCCAAAAGAGATACGACCGGAACGGCCAACACCGTCGTATACTGTGGTGTAGTGGTTAGTGCGATAGCTGTACGAGTTGAAAATGTAGGTTCGGATCCTTTCGTGTTTTCCTGTTTTGCATTGCCTCAATCAAGTTCCTTTATGGAAGTTAGGCTTGTATTTCCTCGGGCAGTCCCCGAGGTATGAGCTCTACTTTCAAAAATTGAAAAAAAATTCTTTTTTGTATGGGTATATTTCCTACGTTTATTCTAAAAGGTGCTTACAAAAACGAAAATGAAGGAAAATGATGCATTCTAAACATCTGCACTGATATTCATACACAGTCCACAGGCTTAACCCCTTTCCATTCACGGAGCTGGACTCGAGCACTTGGGATGTTTTGTTATTTTCTTTACTGTTCAAGCTCTAAGTATTCGTTTTTTGTTTCAAATATGGCACGCCATGTGCGTATTGAATAAATAAAAAACAAATAAATATTGATGGAAATCTATAACAAAGTGGTCAAAACACAGGAGTTGCTCGCAATGAGCGCATCAATGGATACTTTTTGCGCATACAGTAGTCATTTTAGTTTTTCATTTTTTTTTTGAATAAGGGCATGCATTTACCTCGAGGATCTTGACTTTCAAAAAGAAGCTCAGTCGAGGCAATGCAAAAGCGTTCCAAAACGAGTGTAATGGCATACATCTCATGTCAAAAGGCCACGGGCCGGAGTATCGTTTGCTTGTTAGAAATCAGGCAAGGCAATTTTTATCACCGCAATCTATGTCAAATAATCGATCATTCTCTCATGCGAAATCACAAAACACAAATCACGAATTAACAACACAGCATAAATCTTAGCAGATGTTATACAGAAATCAAGTAAAAAGATTCCTTAATAAATTTGAAATCCAGAGAGCTTACCAACAGTTTAGAGTGACGAATCTGACTGTGAGCTCAACATAGCAGCGTGTGTTGTGAATTTAAAGAAAGAGAAGACAAAGCACGAATGCCTCCAGTGGCCTATGTTCATGCTCCTTTTAATCGTTGTGCAACATCCAAAAGGTGGAAAAACAATGTTTGCTATACCTTCTGATAGCTAATCACGAAACTTATGCATTTATGGCTGCAGCGGCGACAGAAAAATTTATCGAAGTAGAAGGAAGTAGATCAAAGATGGAGCAGAAAAGGTAGTGCTGATGCAAATTTGCAGGAATTTAAAAGATGCAGAAGCCTCCCGCGCCCAAAAATCCTCCATAAGCTACCGAAAGTCATAATTCAAGTAGTCTAGTGGAAAAGCGCGCGCTTTTCCTACACTAGAAAAGTGAACGACTCTAAGAGCCGGGCAACAAAAAGATTCTGAGTGGCTTCCAACCCAAATCTCTCACTTCAAATTTTCAGCACGTAAAGTGGGGTGTACTTGGCGCAATCACGTCTGTGTGAGCGTAACGGCCGGAATTCGGAAAAGCCTCAAGTCAAGCTCGTGGCTCAAATCAAAATCTTCGAGACTATTCATGATAAAGAGTATTACTGCTTTGCTTCCTATTCGTTCGTTTTCTTCGTTTATTTGAATGATCGTAAAGGTTTCACGGTGGTCTGTTGAGTTAAGGTTGCTTTTATCGCATCTTGACTTTCAGGCATTATGTATGTGTCAAGAAAGCTGCTAAGCAGCTTTTCACTCCGCCATTACCGGCAGTTTTTTCGGAGTACAGAAAAAGCACAGGAACTTGCACAGGTCTGCATAATTACTATGCATTTTGTTTTATACTCATTTTGCAAGCAATTTGCTTTGATAGGGCAATCATTATTTGCCATATATATGTTTTCCTAAGTTCAGAAAACAAGAACAATTTCGGTTTATAATAACTGCATCGTTTTTTTTTTCATTTTGAATTCTCAGTCTTTTTACTTCAGGGCCTCTTCGGTGAACCGCAGTTGAAAACAGCGAACAGCTTCGCAGACTTGAACAAGCGGGTACGAGCTGAATGTACAGACTTAGTTAAATTGATTGAAACTGGTGACAGTAAACGAACCACGGTCAAACTTTTCGATGATCTTTCGAATACCGTATGTAAAGCTGCTGACTTGGTGAGTTTCTTGTTTTTTAAGTTTGTTTTAGCATTTGTGAAAAGGTAGCACAGCCTAGGTAGAGTGTGTTCGACAGCTACACAATGATCCACTTTATATAGATGCTGCACAGCAAAGTGCTAGTGATTTTTGCGAACTCGTAGAGAGGTCAGTTCACTTATTTTCTTTTAAAGTTTTCTGAAATTGACACTCATTTTTATCTTTTTATCTATGCTTACGCTGAATCTTGTCATGCAGTTGTTTTGATGTTTATCTCAGTAAAATATAAAGCAATTTTCAGTCTAAATACGTACACCGCGCTATATGATAGGCTTCAAAAATCGAAACAAACAGAAGCGGATCGTTTGGATGACATTGATATACGCACTATAAACTTATTTCTGAACGAATTCGAATTATCAGGCGTCCATCTTCCGGACGATAAGGTGAGAGTTTTGATTTCTTATAGTTCCACACATTTTCTTTTTCAGCGTGCCGAGTTCGTGAGATTATCTGGTGAAATATTCAACGCTAGCGCGAGATTTCAAGCTGGTTGCGATCGAGAAGTTGTCATCAGCAGGTCTTTCTTCATTGATTTCATTGCTTTTACTAGAATCTGAATTTTTTTTTTGAGATCTAGAATTTTAGAGCGCAAAGAAAACAATATAGCCTTCCATCGACGAGGATAAGATCACCGTCATCAGACTGCGTTGAGCAGGATAAGCGAAAATTTGTTTATACATCTTACTACAAACACAATAACGAGCAGGTAAGTTTTATCTCGCTTATCAGTCTTCTCTTCCATCATTGCTTTAGGAAGAAGAATTGAAGAAGTTGGTCTGTTACCGTGATGAACTTGCCAAGCTCACGGGCTACACCTCCTTCGCTCATCGTGCGCAGGATAATGCCTTGTTAGGAACGTATGAGAATGCTCATGATTTTCTTTGGGGCATAATACAGGTAGGTTTTCTCCATGAAAACATAAATGAGCTCCTGGCTGTTCATCTTTATCCAATCGATTAGGCTTGCCGGCCTGCAGCAGAGCGAGAGCTAGCTATTTTGATGGATGTGCAAGCACAATGTAAAACTGATTCTTATCATGGTGTGATTGGCGAATGGGACCTTCACTATCTTACCGAAATCTACAAGGTGTATCATGTTAGAGATTCAGCTGTCTTTTGTGTTTACGGCTGCTTTCTAGCTTTTTTTTTCATTTGTATGATCAGTCGTATTTTAGGAGCGTGCTTACGGTACCGCTCATCAGCGAGAAATCCACAATTTTCTCACTCTTGGCAATGTTCTGACTGGTTTTGGAAACCTTGTCAATAAATTGTATGCAGTACGCATGGAGGAACAACTTATAGAGAAAGGAGAAATGTGGGCTGGCCACATAATAAAGTTTGTAAGTGCCTTACCAAGATTCTGATAGAAAAAGAGCGTGATGCTGTGTATCGCAGGGTGTTTATGATGCTGATCGTTTTCTTGGTACCATTTATCTGGATATAGATCGGCGACCAATGAAAGCCGTAGGAGATTGCCATTTTACGGTGCGATGTTCTAAAGAGGTAACTCATGTTGTCAAACAGCTTTGTTTTATAGCATGCTCTGCAATTTTTTAGATGGAAGATGGTAGCTGGCAAACTCCTATTGTCGTTTTGTCCCTTTCATTGTGTGAGAACTACAATGGATCATGGCGTGACCTCTCGGTGAGTTCAAAGCACACAGCTGATCGATTTTGCTTTGGGGTCAATCACAGCTTATCTATGTGATTAACCTTTTTTACCATTTATTACTTGCGCTCAGATCGATTTGCATAAAGCTGAGAACACTTTCCATGAGTTGGGTCACGCAATGCATAGTATGTTAGGACGAACGAGATATCAACATGTAGCAGGTGAAGCTTTGCCTTCTCACCCTAGATTGCTCATTTTCTGGCTACTTTTGAGTTTTAAGGTACTCGCTGCCCTCAAGATTTTTCGGAAGTTCCATCTATCCTCATGGAATACTTCTTCAATGACTTGTCGGTAAGCATCTCCGGTGTATATTTTGCTCGTTTTCTGCTTTGACTTAACTAATCCTTGCTAGAATTACGATTGAACAGGTTATGCAGTCGATTCTTCGAAGTCCAAATGGTGAATGCATAGAAGTGGAGGATGCTGCTTGCATGATTGCATCACGATTCGCCTTCTCTTCTCTCGAAATTATGCAACAGGTAAATCTGTTGTTGGAAATACGCCATTAATATATGATTTTTCAAAAGAGTTGTTTCCCTCTGATAGAATTGATTTCTTTATTTATTCTCCTTTACTGCATTTTTTTTTCTAGGCATCTTATGCCTTGTTTGACCTGGAACTTCATGGTCCCGATGCACCCCGTTTGATACGAGAAAATCGAATAACCACAACGGATCTGTTCCACAGCATCGTTACCAAAGTGGGTTCTATGAAAATTTATTTTGTGGAAGCGTTAGTCCATTTCTTTATTTCAGGCACTTCCTCATTTGGAGCGCGAGAAAGATACCGCCTTTCAACATAGGTAGGCTTGATTGTTCCTCATATCAATTCTATTATCATTTGCCCCCAGGTTTCATCACCTAGTACAATACGGGGCTAAGTACTACTCGTATCTTGTCGCGAGATCTGCCGCGAGCTTGATATGGAACTCAAACTTCAGAGATGCTCCGTTTAATCGAACTGAAGGATTGAAATGGGCTGAGGTAAGATATCATCACTAAAGATCGAATTTGATCCCAACTTACTCTTCTCTGTGCGAATCTTTCAGTGTATCTGTCATGTTTCAGGTCCAGTCGCATGGAGGAGGTTTACCCTCCAACTTATTACTAAAGAAAATGCTTGGCTATTCCCCTACAGCCATACATCTCATTGATGCGCTCAAACAAGAAACTTCGCATCTTGCAAATCTTGGTGCTGTGAATGTGTAGATTAGATCAATTTAGGATATTAAAGTACATGTACATATTAGTGTAGCATAGATCTGTTTGTTGTTGTACTTGTTGTCTACGGTTAGTAAGTTGTTAAATAAGTTGTGCTCGAGTCATTGTTTCTCAACAAAATATGCTTGATTTTTTTCCTCTCACGATCAGTATTTGCGTTAATTCGCTTTGATACTTCGTATTCTATGTGATTCCCTGTAATACTTTGATTTACACTGTGGTTCATTTTTAGATAGCCATGTCTCTAAACAACCCCTTTGATGAGAGGGTACGTGCGCGTAACGCCGCCAAGGCTGGTGAGTATGTCTTGTTGGGGCTCTGTAGACTCATCTTTCGCGTTTGAGGGTTTTTAGAAATGTTTCAATTGCGCCACCCCGAAGTAGGGGGTAATATCAGCGAATATCGCGACCAGCGGTTTCAGGTAATTTCTCTGTTCACATACCTCCCGCACATCGCTGATATATTGTTTTAGGGCTCACTGAAAGAGCAGGACCTGGCTTTGCGTACCTCAACAACGTTATATATAGGAAACTTGTCGTTTTATACATCTGAAGATCAGGTATCTCTATGGTTTTAAATTTCTGATATTGGTATATCACAGTAATTGAGCTGTACGAGCTGTTCAATCGAGCCGGTGAGGTGAAAAGGGTCATCATGGGCTTGGATCGATTCAAAAAAAGTCCTTGTGGCTTTTGTTTTGTCATGTAGGTTTTTTGCTCATCATAAAATCACTTTTTCCTTTTGAATTTAACTATAGATTTTTTGTAGCTACTATACTCGCGCAGACACAGAGAACGCGGTCAGATTTTTGAATCGCACTATGCTTGATGGTAGAATGATTCGAGTAGATTACGATGCTGGCTTTGTAGAAGGACGCCAGTATGGGCGAGGAAAGCACGGTGGACAGGTATGAGAGAATTTTAGTGCAGATCAGCGTACATCGTGATTCCATAGGTGCGCGACGAATACCGAGAACAATACGATCCCGATCGTGGCGGGTTCGGCCGAATATTCCAAGAAAGGGAGAAGGTGGCAAATTACATTTGAGGCGAAAGCATTGCATCACATTTATTTATATTTATGCACGGGCAAGTTATTGAATTTTTTGTTGTTCTTTTCTGTGGTGTTGAGGAGATTATTTTATCACTTTTCTTGGTTCAATGCATATGATGCATATTTTCTGTCAAACCTATTCTAGTATCACTTTGAAGTATCTCAACAATCAATTATTCACATGTACTGATAAAGCATACTTTTGGGTCAGTTTCGATGAAAAGCCTTCAAGAATAGCTTTCTCTAGCGTTCAGAATCTGTTCTCACGTGGCAGTTCCACGATATTGCGTCAAAGATATGCACGTGTCGGGTGTTTCCCACCAGCAGCTGTCCCCTTCCCGGGCAGGCTGTAAAGCCCAACCCGTCACAGTTCACCGGATCCACCCTCTTTTCTATCTCAACCCTGCACTGACTATGCCATGTATTTAACTGTTCTCGCCGTATATCGCGTGCTCACTTCAACAATGCACGTTACCCGGAAGAACACGCTATTTACGCTCGCGGACGAGCTTCTCGAAGGATTGGAGATGTCGGGTGTTTCCCACCAGCAGCTGTCCCCTTCCCGGGCAGGCTGTAAAGCCCGAGCCGAGACAGTGACCCCCGATGACCGCCGGCTAGCAGGTTGCTACAGCAACCTCCCCTTTTCCCCACTTTCCCCTCTTATGTAAATAATATTTAATAAATATATATATATATATACGAATGTTATGTACTCCCACTCATCAGGATAAGGCCCGTACATCCTTATACCTGACACACGCGAGGAGCGACTCAGTCTTCGCTTTTAGTCGCCCCTACGATCAAAAATCGTTACGACTCCGTCGCTCAAGTTATGCTCAGAGCCGTAGTTTGTGCCAGCCAACAAGATCCATTCGTGACCGAGAATTCATTTTTTAAATTTTTGAAGCCATTGCTGTCAAGTTTGATAAAGGACCTGCACCTGACCAGGCTTGCATGTGTTCATCCTTCGCCTTAGCACATGTTAGAGCGGAATATGGGGATTTTGGAGGTGAACTTCTTTGCCATGAATAAGTCATTCCGTTGGCTAGTACCTTAGTGCCCCACCAGTAGTTCTACATGAGAAAGCCATGTGCCCAGATGCTAACTATGCCATTTTTTTGGTACTTTCATTGCAAAGTGTCAAAAATCGTAAGCCAACGGAGGGAGACAGCGAATCGCTGCATAAGGTAGCTTGAAATCTCCGCGGGGGTCGAAAACATATGTTTTCTAGGTCAGCCGCGGGCGTTTCCGTAGTGCACAAACGAAATGGAAGCTTATTTACGAGGGTGATACGTAAATAGTTTTGAAAATGTGACGCAAAATCATGCCCAATTCAGTTCTCCTCCAGGGCGCCACCAAGACGACTGAGTCATCGTAGATATACTTTTGGAGCCTACAGGGCTTGTGCACCAGCATCTCCGCTCCCGCGCGATCGCCTCGCGTGAACTCTGCACCTCTTCCGCGAACATGCCCTCTGATAAATTCCGATCGATTGAGGCTCCGCCTTTCTCTCGCTCATGGTGAGAAAATGATTATAAAGCATGTTTTGGAGAAGGTGCAGACTCCAGGCAGGGCGACTGCGAGGGAGGGGAGATGCTGATGCACCCGAGCAATTGATAACCCGTGTACACGTCTTGTATTTTTATATCAAGGAGTACCCAGGTTAAAATTTTTCCTAGAGCATGAGAACCGATATTGTTGCCTGTCCTCTCCAAAATGAACAAAAACTCGCTATAAGGGGGTGGGGGACCATATGTCGCCGAATTTGGAAGAGTCCCGCGCGGATTCCCTGCAGGAACGCATGTCCGCGCATGTACAAGAGTGCGTTTTTGTCGCAAATGACCGCGGGGACCGCCCTTTTTCGGCGACATATAGTCCTCTACCCCTATGAAAGTCTTTCAAGAATACTAACAAAGTCCTCTAGCTTACTAGATATCTATAGTATCGACTGCTAGGCTTGACGGTTTTCGGTGGAAAATTATCGAAATATTCACGAAATTGTCATGAGGTCCTTTTTATGGGTTTTGACCTGTAACTTTCATGTTTTGAATCGGTTCCAAGATATTAAGGTTAAACAGCTAATGCGACGAACATCTATTCCTCTTCAGAGATTTGAAAGGTTCCAGAACGTTTTTGAACACTAAAAAGCACTTATTGATGCCCATCTGTCAAATCGCGCCTCTTGACAATTCATCTGCGGTATCATTCTAGTTTTTTCTCTTTTCTCTATCCGGCATGCATTCTACCTGTATTTGGTTATCATGCTCTTACTCAAGCTAGTCATCCGCACATCCTGTATTTTGACATATTATTATTTTCTGTAAGCGTCGGCATTTGCACAGCGGTACTTTGTAAGAATATTGAAAGTCTATAGGGAACAATAAAGCCGAAAAGCGACTCGTGTTGGGAATGGTATGAAGAACAAAAGCAAAAGAGTCGTCTTCACAGTTATGGGGGAAAAAGCTTGACAATCAACTTTTGGGTTTTTTCCCAGACCTACCTAGTCCCGGACAAGGCGGATGTCCGTATGAAGTAAGTGCACGTATATGCGGCACGCGAGCGGTTTTCGCCTTCTGGTATATCAAACGCGCCCCGGCGATGATAGGTTCTCCACCGTCGCAATCGCGCCATCTTCATGGCCATACATTAACCGTGTTTTGGCGCTGCGATTTAGATACACCAGTTCTCAATATTTTATACCACATAATGACAAATAAAATAAAGTTTTACCTACAAGTGTGAAAAAATACAGTTTGCACAGATGATGTATCAAAATTGAGATGATTACTGATTACTATGTAATCATCAACAACAAGAGACCTAATCCAAGGTCAAATATGGACTAGAAAAATGCACGATTAGCAACTGCACAAATAAAAATTTTTCAAGTATCTCATAAGCTCATCATCTCTAATGAATTAATATGCTTACAATATAAGTCAATGACATCAAACTTCGTTAGAAAAAGTGAGGTACAAACTAGAAGAGAGTTGGATAAACTAGTAGGGATGGCTCTAGTGGGACAGCCACGCCCATTATCATTGACGGCTTGGTAAGTCTAGATCCTACTATTTTGATCCATTCTACGTATGTTAACACACACAACCGCTCATCAAACCGGTGACCTTGGTTAATATTACAATCAATACTAGTGAATATTAAAAAGCAGTGATACATGCCCGTAATGCTTTAGACCCGATTCGCCTCTGCTTGATTGGCTTGAAAGATATCATGTGCATTTTGTAGTATGACTTCGGTGGCTCGCTGGAATTTCGCTGTGCCCGTCGACATCTCAACGAAGTCGTTGAATTGTGGCCTGAAAAAAGTAGTAGTTTACAAATAATCTAACAAAAAAGGCTGAAAATTTTGAGAACAGTAAAAATATACAAAATAATGCAGTCTGTATCAATCAGTAGTCCTTTCAGCGTAGGAACTGCGCACCCATAACGGCCTCGCGTCAGACCTTCAATCGATAAGGCCAAATCAAATGCGTAACCTACGCGTGCAATAGTGGCGCGAAGCACTGGCGCTGCGCTGAGGAAAAGGGACTACGCTACTGACACCGACTGTATGTGTAGAAATTTAAATTTGAGAAGGATCAAGTGTTATTGCATGGTTAAGAAGCAAACAAAAGCTTCAAAAATTGATTGGAACACTTAATCTTCCCAAAAGAGTGGTTGAAAAAAATGGAATCCACGATTCTTTCATGATTTGTATGTTTCGTATGGTTGAGGCAAGGAAAAATTTAAGTAAAGGCTAGTGAATTGACGATTATATAGTGTCCTTGCGGTGCCTACAGCAATTGCGCGTGAAAAAACAACGCTGTAATGGCGACGAGAATTGGATAGGGATGTGGCATTATATAAATCATCAAATTTACTAGCCAGTATGCATGTAAGGAGAATACCAAGATTCTAGCGGATTATTCTGAAAATCTCAAAAATTACCTGAACAGTGTCGGAAACAGCACTTTGGACAAGTTGTGATAGTCCATCGCAGTACTGGGAGAGGAAGCAACCTGAAATTTGTTGGTTCAAAATTTCTAGTAATTTCACGATGTTTTTCTCACTCACCTTTTGCAGATGGGATGTGAAGAACAGCAAAACCTCTCGGTTCACTGGTGTCATTCTTCCCATAACTGCGCGAAGTCGTTCAATGACCTTGAAAAGTACAACGTATCATAAAGATGGATGAAATATTCCAAAATTGCTTACATCGCAATTCTGGTTGGTTCCATCCACCGTGACGAGAATATCTTGGTGCAGATCTGAGGGGATCAGCGGCTCGGCAAGGCAACCAAAGAACGTTTTTACAGCCGTTGCTACGACGTGCACAGGCATATCAAGGCTATTGATGTCCACATCGCCCTGAAATAATGTGAAAGATATTTTAAATTAGTGATAGAGTTTTTTTTTTTTAAATTTGGATAATGTTGAGCGATTGAGGAGTTACCAAATTATTGATATATTATTAGGATTATTAGTTGCTAGGGATTATATTATTATTGATTTAAAATTAAAACGGATCTGAATTGAAATAGTTAGCGTTCCTTCAACTCTCATTTTAGCAAAATTATAAAGTTTCTACCTGAACAATAAGTAATGTTTTTTTGCCTCTTGAGAATTTTCTTTATGAAAAAAAAAACACCGAGAGTGATGTATGGAGCAGGCAAAGGTTCAGCTACCGGTATGCCTAATATCGTAAAGCGCTTCACCACTGTTTTTTTCTTTCCATTTTCGTCTCCTCCACATTTTCCTCAACGTTTCGAAAATGAATTTTGAGGTTGAAGGAATTGAAAAGAAGTTGTAGATTTTCTAGAATACTCGCTGCCAAAGGTGTACTTTGAAAAAAATTGAATACCGGCAATAAATCTAAAAAATTGGAAACGATGACCTTTTTCAAAAAAAAAAAAACTCTTTGCAGTCTCACTCGATAGTAAGAATACAGAAGAACCTTTTTCAGAAGAGGATTTTCTTAAAATGCTGGGAAAGTGCTTGCTGGAATATAAAATGAATAAAGATGATGAAAATTCGATGACAGAATTCACAAAATTTCCAATCACTTCTTCAAATATGTTTCAGAAGACTAGTTTCCTGTAATCTCAAATAATAAAACGAGTCGGAAATTCCAAAGATATCCGCCTTTCATAATTTTTCTATACCGTAACTTGTTTCACTTTGAATAAAAATACTAAGAAGACCTATAGTACTGTTAAATAAAACTACAAAAAGACTAGGACCTCGAAGGAAAACAAACCTTTTCACGGAAAGCCTTTTCGAGCTCACTGAGCTGTGCTTGATTACCAGGCACTCGATACAGTCCTTCCAATTCCAATCCGCCTTCCTGTAAAGGGTAACATAAATTTTTGAACCATTACTTCGGTTAGTGTACATTCCATAAATACATCACGGAGGTAAAAAGCATATAGCGATCTGTATTCGAGCATTACTATTGCAATAAGCTTCAATGTTTTCGTTGCGGGATTTGATTTGATTGTGGGCGAGGCAGTTAGTTCAAATAAAATAAAATCTAATATCAAAACATATGACCTCACAAACAGCCAAGCCAAACTCTCTGCCAACAGCATTAGGGTTACGCTAACTTTTTTGGGGTTTATATTATTTGAAGTTTTCTTTGCACACATCTAGGTTTTACTACAATAGCACATTTCATACACTTACCTCAGCCATAACGATGCTCTAAAAGTCATTGCAGCTAGAATTTATCAGGAACAAATCGATAATCGATTTTTTGCTCACCTTTTCGATGAATTGAACGCATCGCTCTAGAAATAGCGGAATTCCGCCGTTCTTTTCGGCCAGCGATTGTAATGTGTCATTTGCCCCTACCACACCTTGAACGCTCTGGAAATGATGCCCCATTAGTCGTTATTCATAAAACAAAAAAAAATCAATAAAAAATAGAAAAATTCGAACCTCAGTACTAGATTTGTGGCCTCTTTTTGGAGATCGCGATGGCAGCCAAGAAAACGCATTTGAGGCTTTTTCAGATGAGGCTAAAAATTACAACATCAAAACAATGCACTTTTTAAAGAAATTAACGGAAATGCATGCCATAATGGGATGAATGGTAAATTGTTCCAGATCATGTTAGCTTTAACAAATTATTGTGAGTATGCAAAAAACGGGGATGAAAAATGAGCTTTGCCTAGTAGATCTGGCAATTAATATGATGTTTTCGCGGTGGAGACAACATTTGCGCGTGAATAGTGGCGATATGCGCTATATGGCCAATTTTCTACGCGCAGGTCGCAAGCAAATTGTCGGCATTGACATGACATGACATTTGTTTCCGCGCAAATGTTGTAAACACCGCAGGGACACTGTACTGACCGTCAAATCTACTAGATATATGTGTAACTGTCTTGTTGTTGTTTTTTATTGTACGACAAGATAATAACAATCTTCTACAAATTTTTCTAAGAAATCAATAGTAAGGTATTTCGATTGGAAAATTCAGAAAAGCAGTTAAAGAACTCATTGATAATCGATAATGGATTTGTTTTTCCACATCACTTGATGTGCAAAAAAGACTTTCACTCAATCAAAGACTATTTCTTCGAAAACAATTACCACAAGATTTTTGAGGGTGACTGCACTAGAAAATTATAAGATTGCAAAATTGATATCTGTCACGAAAATGAAACGTACGGCAAGCAAAAAAAAACTCGTGTTTATGGTCATGCAAGCAAATGAATAGCAATGATGAGAATTCAAAACATGCGATTGAATTTGCTGAGACTGAAAGAGTGCCTCTTACCAAGATAAGCCGTCCTTCTCGGTTTTCGCTCAATCTGCGGACTTTGCGGAAGCGATCTCGAAGTGATATGTGTCACGGGTGGGGGTGAGATCAGCTTCACCTCGGCCGGCTCTTTCTCGGCGGGTTTTTTGAAGCGAAATGACGTTGCCACTTTGCGAACAAATTGAAACTTCTTCTTTTTCTCGTCCATCAAGTCATTGATCGACTCGACACTGAGCGATTGACGAAGGCCTTGCTGCTTCTGGGCGCCGACACCTTGAGCGGCGTAGATCTGTTTCGCACGCATTACCGAATCGCGATTGATCACATCCATTGTGATCGATCTCGCTGGCATTTGATTCGTCTTCGGATGCACATCCGCGATAAGCTTCGGCTTCGGCGCGATTCGCGGCTTGATGGGTGCGGTCTTGGCCGGACGTCGCGCCGCCATCGGTGACTTCGGCAGCCAACGTCGCTGCTCAGAACGTGGTGGAGAGACCGGAGTCGGAGGAAGGTACTTCGGTTCGACGACTTCGGCACGATGAACGGACGCTGACGACGAGCCTATACAACACAGCACTGTACAACATAAAGGGCAAGGGAAACTGAATGGAAGCAACTGAGGCGTCGACAAACACAATGTGAGCGGTGGCATTGAATTTCTAATGCAGAATAGCTTACCGGCTGATGAGGGTTGGCTTGCGCCTATAGAAGGGGACGATGAAGGCTCTGTGCTGGAGTGATTCGAGAACATTCGGGAACGTAAGGGGCGCTAAATATCTACTAATTTCACTACTCCTCCGATATTATAGCATTTTGTTGGTATAAAATAGCTCTAATCGGTCAAAGCAGATACGTTATTTACCTTTTTCTCCTTCTTCAGTGGTGTCACCTTTTTCTCCTCTTTCACAGAATTCTTTTGATCTTGAATACTTGAGAAATCAAGGGTAGCATAGATATGTTCGTCGTCAATCAGCGCATCCTAAAAATGGTAAGAATTACTACAGAGATTAATCGATCATAAATAAAAATTAAATTTCAGTTTGTTTTGCTAGTTTGAGTTCACAGTGCTGTAGTGGAGCCGATCGTGATTTGATATGTGAGATTGCACATCGCACGCGATATTTTACGACTACTCAGTGGTGGATAGTGAGTTACTACCGTTTCAATTCAAGAAGCTGTTGTAAAATAATCACCTCCGCTAAACTGAACTCATTTACACTTAAGAAAAAAAAAAAGAAAATTTCCTGGAACTTGGCAAGCTGCGGACACGTACATGTCGTGAAATACCGCGCGTTTTGTGCAACACTCATACTGAGTTGCAATTGGCCCGGCTGCAGGGAATATTGAGTGCAAACAATTCTCAAATAAGTTCATCAAGGGCAAAACCTATCAAATTCTCGAATCCTGATAGGGCGCTGTTACCGCTACTAAAGAGCGCCCGATCGGGAGATGGGCGCTTATTTGTAGCGATAAATTAGCGCCCAATCAGACATCGAGACAACTGCCGAAGCAGACCTTAAAAAGAGTAGGACAAACCTGCACGACGGAATATTCGGGCGCGATGTCAACCATTTCCGGAGTGGCCAAAGGTGCCGGTATCGGTAGCGCATGTGGTAGCGGTAGCTTCAATGGCGACATCATCGGAGCCACCCGTCTGCGTGGGCGAACTGCCGAAGCAGCCGAGCTGCAAACAGCGGCCATCCGATATGTCGCGACAGCTGTCACGACACAACTCCCAGGGGCCTCGAGGTGTGACTTACCTGTAGCTGATACTCATCGCTGAATGCGAGTTTCTCAGTGCTGGCGCAGAGGCGGCCGATGTGACCCGTTCCAGTGGACCGGTGGATAGTGTAGAGTCGCCGCTGGCTGACGAGTCCGAAAGCAGCGTTCCGGCTGAGTCTGAGAGAGAACGGCGGCAAAAACAATATAGCGAGAAGAGGAGTGTGTAAACAAAAGCGTAAACAAACGTCACGTCATTGAAAACTTACGGCTTGTCTTATAGGTTCCGTACATGCAACTGCTACTATTCGAATCGTTGCGATGTTCAAGCTTTGGATGCGCGGTATGTTGTTGTTGATAATCGCTAACTGTTGAGTAGGGATCACTAAATAAACAGATCTTATATCCAATCGATATATCGATTAGCGCTCGAACCCTTGCTAAACCGTTTGTGCATGACTCAGCGCGTTTGCAGTGACGGAATGCTTTGCAAGAGGGTTTGAGAGAATTCCACTTCAACGCTCCGCTCAAGTGTTTGACGCGCTCGGCGCAGATGCGCGGAAGAAGTGTGCGCTACGTAGGAAGCTATGTTTTGCACGTCTCCACACGAAATCTGACATCATCTGTGTCAATTTGGATTCATCATATCTTCCGCCTAGCTTTTTTCCAATTTTAACTTGACAAAAGGGCGGGCAGGGGGAGGGAGGAGGAGTAGAGATTTTTTTGTGAAAACATAGTCTGTGTCAATCACGTATTCCCTTTTACATTCGCTACGCCAGAGTTTCGCGCCACATGCGCGCGCGTATGTTTAGACGCTCAAATTGGCCTTATCGATTGGTCGTTCGCACGCAAGGCGGTCGCGTTGCGGGTGTTCCTACACAAGAAGGACTACTTGACTGACATGGACTGTATTTGAGAATGGGAAAAGCCATCACCCACCTGTCTCTTTTCATAGCTCTCTCCAGTGTGGTTGTCTTTGGTACCATCGCACGCACTCGCTCGAAAAATCGGGCTAGTTCGCCGGTTTGAGCGCTATTTGCGTCTGGCGGAATGGTGATAAATGAAGCACCAATACTCGTCGCCAGTTCGCTTCCTTCCGTAAGTAAGAGGTTCGTTTCCTGGAAACGTGGACATTTTTATAAATTTCATCTTATTATTATTTCTTTTTGAAAAATTGTTGCTGGCAACGAATGCATTCTAAATTTTTTGAATAGCAAAGAACAATCAAAATTTTCTGCTAATTGCTATGCCTCAGCTTTTGAGGACATCATTATGCCCACGTCATAAAAGAACAGCTTAATTGGCACGTTCTTCGAAGGTTCAGATAAAAAGAAAATGGATTGCTAGCATGCGAAGGAGATTTAGGAAGAAACACTTATGAAGATTTATAGACAAAGTATAGAAAGCCTTCAAAAAACAATATCTAAAAAACTGAAGGGCATGCAAAACGTTTGATGTTCTAAGATGTTGTGAGGAGTGCAAAAATTCTCAAAAATTATGAACAAACTACACGAGATAAGAAGATTTATTTGACTAGACCAAGTTTAGAGTTGGTATTGACAAGTCCCTCTTATGGATGAATTTTACTGGTTGAGTTAGGTGTTCACGAGAACGAGTTGGGAGTGTAGACGAGCAATTATAAATATAAAAAAATGAAACCTCAAAGTCACAACAACAACGGCTGAAACACCATTTAAATTTCACATAATGCGATATATTGAAATTCTATTTATTATTTTGAAGTAGGATGACTGCAATGAGTACTTTGATACTGGATGGATTCTTTTCATGAAAGATACAAAGAATTCTTTCAAACGAAGCATCAAATCGAAAATGGTTAAGAGAGCTTTGTTTTGTTAGGCCTCTGACTCAAGCGATATCAAGTTTAAGATTTTTGTAAGAAGCGGTGGAGAAAAATTGTGGGGGGGGGGGGGGAGGGGAGAGAGACAAAATATAATGCATTTTCAGGTTCCAAGATGATTACTGAACTACTAGCATCGCCACAAAAAACTTCTTAGTATAAAATAGTTACAATAAATTTTGGTGTCTAACAATTTGAAAGGATAAACCAAAAGTTTCATCGGGAATGAACCAATATCTAAGAGGAGACTTTGCAGTCTTTTGGTAAGGACAATTTTAGGCAAGGTAAAGGAACATGAATTGACATGAAAATGAAACATTTCATTCTCTAGGGTGGAGGGAAAATCAATCAAATGAAAACTTTATTTAGAGAAAATAAAAAGGAAAAATACTGAATGCTAGAGGTCAATAAGTGCACGCAAAAAATTGAGTTTGAAAGGGGCCTTGCTATAAGGTGGGCGTGTCGTGCATGAGAAATAAGACCATGGACAAAATTCCCCAAATATACAGTACCCCCCCCCCCCGAAAGCTATATCGGAAGCCAGGTCAAACCGTACAGTAATCTTTGTGCCGGCGATTTTGTTCAGTGGTCTACGCGTCATCACACACACCCATAGCTATTTTATGCGTATAGCGTTTCCAATGCATACTAATGCTATGGGGATGGCTTTTAAAGGGCGGGTAAGAGGCCATGGGGCGACGCCATCACATTCACATCAATGGGTTACGCAACGGCGGAAGCGCCCGCGCAACCATGTGTACAAATGTGCGCGTTCGGGACGAGTTTACGTAGGTTTGGGTGATAAATGACGTCAAAATGCAGCTCTGCATAACGGCTCTCGATTGGCGGCTTTGAGAGCGAAGCACAAAAAAATCACCAGTCACTGCCCTATAATAATCCCACGAAAATTTTCTCACAAGTAGGGGGGGGGGGGAGAGAGAAAGAGAAATTCCCTATGTAATGGCTTGTGTTCTTCATCATCAAGCTTATACCCATGAAATTCTAAAGAGGCAGCTCCCGAAGCCTCCACGAGAAGTTGATGTGAATTGTAAAACTGTAAAAGGTTCTTAACAATTTTTGTGATTTATAGAAAAAGTCATTTGCTTAATCTCACTGTAAACCACCGGAAAATTTCGCGCTCCATTTTCAAGAAGGAGAAGGTAATACAACGGGGAATGGGACGGGCTCACTTCCACTAGTCTGGGCTAATAATGAAGCATTTTGGAGGCGAAATAATTGACCGCATAGAGCTTAACCCTTTCAAAATGGGTAAATAAAGGTTTCAGACTAATAAGAGCTTGTTGAGTTTTTGTGCCACTTGAACTGCTTTGCCATATCCAGCATAAAATAAGCAGAAAGTTCTCGATATCGATACTTCTGAGAGAAAAAGCATGAATTTCGGCAGAGCTCTTATTGATAGAATCGAAAGGAACGTGAGAGGAAGGAGGAGGACGGTCGAGACATTTTGGGGATTAAGCTCAATTATCTGATAATTGCCCAAAAGAGCTGTTACTGCAATCTTTGAAAAGGAAAAATAGCAACACAAATATCAGTAAATATAAGAATATCTTCATAATCTTACCAGAAGACGCAAAAGTGATCTAATGAGGTTTAAACGAAACTGCACGAGTAAATGACTATTATGGAAAGCTAATTGGGACCCATCAAATGTTCACGAACCAATGATTTTTCCGCTAAAATGCATGCGATTCATAAACAAATGCATAAACCATGAAGAGAAGATCTACCTAACAACATCTCCATTATATATAATCTACGGTCGTTTTTGTAGCATCAAAAAACAAAAGCAAGCACTTCAGACGTGCATTTTGAATGGGAGGTTGATATTTGCGAACAGTGAACGATTCGATACGGGTGGCGATGGGTAATATGGCGACGGTAACTCTTTGAACATCTGGATCAAAGTCGTTCTAGATGTGCATTTTTTCTACTGTCGGAGATAGGAAAGAAAATACTACGAAAAGTTGAAGAATGAGAACAGCGAGCTAGGATAGGGTTAGAATTCTAAGAAATGAAACATCTTGAGCAGCAAAAGTGCAAACTTTCTAATACAGTGTCAAAATGTTGAAGATATTTACCTATTTATGTGATCCGCTAACAAATGCAGCAAAGATAAATCGAAATAAATAAATAAAATGATATCTGCAACATTCTCCGTATCGAATACACTATTTCGAAGTCGACGAAAAAATTGCATATTTCAGAAACTTAATCCCCTGATCATTTTGGATGGAATAAATTAAGTGAGGTAACTAAAATTATGTGATTCAACTACAGAGCCTTGAAAACTTTTCATACGCTACGTAAACAGAGGGCAGTCTTCTAGAAACGATGTTCACTTAGCTATCAATAAAACAGAAAGAAATGGATAGAGGCAAAATGGTACAATATGAAGGAACTCCTCAGAAAGCAATTGCATATTCTTCCTTGCCTTATATGTGTGTGTGTGTCAATTTACACGAAATCAAAAAAGTACATTGAATTCCTGTAAGATGTGGAAATATGTAGACAGGAAGAGCTATTATTTTAGATGGAGGATGACTCAGGCAGAGGTAATCTGTCAGAATACAAGGGCTATTGCATGAATCATACTCAACATAATTGACACATTGTCAGTCGTGAGGACATGAGTGTAAAAAAGAACAAGAACGATCTATGTTTTGGGCATCTGAAAACGTTTAGGGAGCTGGCAGTAGATTTGGATTGACCCTAGGAGAACGTAAATATATTCCAAGAATGTTCTATCATGCACAAGGAAATGACAGATTAAAAACTGGTAATAAAGGGTTATCACTGAGAGCAATCAAATGCTTATGAGTTTGTAATTATGTCTTGTGCTTAATCACCCTCCAAATCAGCTAATTTACAGGAACATTCAAGTATACCAAGACGGTACCTAACATTCAGTTAGGTATACCTAATTTGTGTTTCAGGCAGCTGCTTGTTTTTCCTTACTTTGGTTTGATTCGTTCCATTTGAATGGGAGCATTGAGAAGAAGAGCATTCAGCTAATTGTAAATTAAATAGTCATAGAAAGGTAAAGCTTCGAAAAATGTGTAATGCGCGGGGAACTCCAAATTTTTGTTAGATTTCAGAAGGCCATGGTCTATTGCTCGGTGTTTGGTACTAAGGACGTGCAGATATCCCAAAAACGACTGATATGGTCTTTTTCCAAATCGCATATTCAGTTACAATCAATCATTTCGCAAAATCCAAAGCTTCTTCATAGACTCTGCAAATTTGCAGCCATGAGCTATGTCATCAAACATCAAACGAGTATGTTTTTCAACAACAGTGAAAAAAATTACAATACCACATAATTTCGCCTCCAAAAGCTGATCAAACATGGCAGTAACATACCAGAAAACAATGTATTGTTTATGATGTCAGACAAACGTGCGTAGGAGGAGCCTTCAACGCGATCGTAATACCGAGGAAACAAAAGTTCATGCCAGTTACAGACGAAAAAAGCGGATCGAGTGGCGAAAATGACGCAAAGGTAAAGTTTCGGCGAGTGCGGCTCGACATGCACCTACGATACCACTGCAAACATTTAGCACTCAAAGCTCAGCCACGCCCGTTGGTTCGAAAATTCTCGCAGATTCTCGGATTCCACCTTTTCATTCTTGGGTCCTTTCATAGTCCTGATTTGGATATGTTGAGCAAAATATGTGAAAATTCCAAAAATTTCCCTTTCTGAGATTCTAAGGGCAAAGAGGCTCTGACGCTAGCAGATCGTACGCAACAGGAGCTTCGTATGCAACAGGATTACCGTCGCATACAACAGCAATTCCGCTGTAGCCAGAAATCCTGTCGCATGTAACAGCAACCCGTAGCATGCAACAAGAATCCCGTCGTATGCAATGGGAATGATGTAGCATACAACAGAAATCCTGCAACAAGAATCCAACACATGCAACAGCAATTCCTTAGCAAGAGGAATCCTGTCGCATGCAAGAAGAGCCCGTCGTGCAACAGCAAATCTGCAACAGGATTGCCGTCATGCAATAAATGGTGTCACATGCAACAGCAATTCCGTTGTAGCGACAGAAATGCAACAGCAACCCCGTCGCATGCAACAAGAATCCGTCGTATGTAACGAATGATGAGAATGATGTAGCATGCAACAGAAATCCTGCAACAAGAATCTACATGCATGCAACAGCAATTCCTTTGTAAGCAAGAGGAATCCCGTCGCATGCAGCAAGAATCCGTCGTTTGCAGCAGGAAACTAGTCGCATGCAACATCAATCAAATTGTATGCAACAGGAATCCCATCATATGCAACAGAGAGTTTTCGGATAGGCGGATAATTTTGAAGGGAAGGTAATGGTCGAAGTTCCAACGAATTAGGAATTATGAAGCAGGTCCATTTTCTCGTTTTCAATGGACCTGAAAGAGGCACATACTTCGCTTCTTCTAGGGTGCTTGATAACCACATTATCTGGGAAGCTGGATTGGCGAGCATTATTTCAAACTTATAAGAATCAGATAATTGTTAGTGAAGAGGTACGATTCAACATTACGTTTGCACAGCGATCTTTGACACAGAAGAGTTTTCATCCGGGAGCCTAATAAAAAAGGCAGCCGATGGTGGCACGAATGTATGAGCAAACATGCTGTTCAAATATGTGTACGACCACACGTTCTTCACACTCCCACGCCATTTCTGAGCGAGTCACAAGGGTTTTCCTAACTGAATCTGATGTTAGTTGCCGTCTAACACTCGCAATCTCTACAATCATGCATTGCATCACACGTAGATTCGTATCATATTTGCATTATCGAATACGTAATCGAACCGGAAGCTTAGAGCATTAGACACCCTCATGGTTACTGAGGGATGAATAATCAAACATCAACGTTGAGTCTTTGCAAACACTGTGCTTCCTGAGATGGAGCTGATTTCACACGAATTCTGACAATGAGAAATGGACAGGATGATCTTGAAGGGAAAGCCTGGAACTACCCAAAAATGCAAAAAAAGAAAGTAATTTTCACAAAAGGGATTATTTGCGCGACATCCCTAGCTTTTTGAGTGCAAATTTTGGAATAAATTGTATTTCGGTTTGGAGAGTCTATTTTGGGACAATGTACTATCTTACTTACGTAGCTATAAGATTTGCAATTGGCGATAAACGTGTGCAAGCCAGGCTTAGATCAACTTTGGGCAATACCATATACGTACATATTGCACTCAGCTGATTACCGTTCACAGTTGACAACCGTATACATTAGAAGTGTCTTCACAAAGCTTTTTCTAGCTTTACTTGTATTATATGATACTGCTGGAGTACTGTAAACATACGGTAGAAATATGCACTGCCCAAATTTGCAATTGATGAATATTTACACGTTAGTCTCAAACCGAACCTGAGCAATTGGGCTTCCTGCCGTATAGCATGTATACCTGTAATAACACTGGGTGGAAGAAGAACCCCTCGGACTACTGGCCCCCATACAATGTGTCACAATATGTGCGAAAGACCAATAGTCCGCGGAGACGGAGCCCTGATGAAGTTTGTTCCTAATGGAGAAAACAGAAAAAAAACGGAGAAATGGAGAAATTATGGAAATTTTTCTAGAATAAGAACAATTTGAGCACACATGTCGTAATATAAAACGCTTAACTTGCACATTAGATAAGCAATGACTCTTGTATTTCAAAGGCAAGTGACTCTAATCACGATTTATATACTAACGCTAAGTATACAGTAACATTTGAACATACAACAAATGCTCATAAGTGACGTGAGCAGAACGTAGGATGTAACTCCCGGCCCCTGCGTTAGCTGCCTGTATTGTTTGTTTTTTCTAATAAGCTACATATGAACAGGTGTGAAAGTGCGTTTCAACTTTTAGCACCGCTTTCAAAGCGTGGGAGATGAAACACCCCCACCCACACTAATAAAAAGATATTTTCATTGGATGTTGAACTCCTCGATGACAAAATGGCAATGATATGAGTGAGTTTATTATCAAAGTTTTTTTTTGAACAATAATTTTGGCTGGGAAAATGCACGATGTAACGTTAATTGGCAAAGAAAAGGGTTTTTGATTCTCTTGAAATTTTTTATTGCTTTTATTGAACTGGAAAACGCATCAGCTTTGCGATTTCTACACTGAGCACACTTTTTAACAATAAGCTAAAATGTTCCTTGTTTTTACTCTCTCCTAAGCATATTTCAAAATGTTACTTGACATTTGTTCTCTTCTAGCTTTGAGACGCAAATTAACTTGGCTGCTTCAGAGTTCGTTGCGCCCTATCCAGTAGAAATTAAAAGAAGGAAGAGGAAGTTGGGAAAAAAAGAGAGAAAAGATTTAGATGTTGGCGTTCAATTACAGCAGAAAACTGTAATACAAGACTTTGAAAAGCAAAAGCTTTTCAATAAAGTCATTTACGAGAAATATGAACGACAAAACAACACATAAAAAACCCTTTGCGAACGCAATTTTGCTCAAAATGGAGGAAATTAAATCGAATTCTGTGCAAAACAAAACACCAGCATCTCAAAATATATTTGAAATGCAGCGATTGTTGCTGTAAACTCGCTGTAAACCACACCCACAACAATTGTACCCTGAACGTTACTATGGTTACATAACATTGCCCCTATTGAAACTAATAACAGATGCGTGCATGAAGCAACGAACGAAGTCATGCGAAACAAGAGCGAGCTCAACCAGACGATAGCTTTACATTACTAGCGTGCAACAGGAAAATTATCCGAGAAAATAAAAGCTGAAAGCGAAAAAATGCTTAAAGTTAAAAAAGGTAAGCTTAGAGTTCCATGATAAAAAAAAATCGTGTACCTGAGTTTTTTATTTTTATACTGGAAGAAGGAGTTGATTAAGCCATTGCCCCATTGCCCAAACGGCGATTCGTACGACTTATCCGTGGCTGAGAAACTCAACAATAAAGTCCAGCCCAGACCGCACCTCTTACCGTAGTCGACCAGAGGAAATTACGGTCTGGGATAGAGTTTAAAACAGTTTTTCTCGGCCACGTTTGGATCATATGAGCTGCCGCTTTGGCATTGGCTTGGCTAAGATTTTTCAAATATGATAGTATTACCATAGTTCCCAAATTTGCCCAGATACCGCCTCTGAGCAAATCCACAAAATTCGAGTGCTATAAGCGGAGAAGGGCTAAAAGGAAAGTTGAAGCGCGTTACTCCAGATTTTATTATTCAAAATAGCTAGATAACCGCATTTTCGCGTAAAATGCTCTAGAACGAGTGTACTTTCATAATCACATAGAATGTATTGAGGGGTACTCAAAATGCAAAATCACTTTTCGCACAAGAGTAAACATTGCCAACAGTACCGTAGTATCACACTATCATTTGTAGCTCAATTTGTGAGATTGCACACTGCACGCAGTATCTTACGACGACACTGCTTACCAACAAATAGCCAATATGAACTACTATAGAGCAACAAGTTGAAAAAGGACTACTTATAGTTGTCCATTCTAATCGATCACAAAAAGTCAGAGAAATTACTAAGATTGGCTACTTGTAGCAGGTACATCGTGGAGTACCGTGCGTGTTGTGCAAAACACAAAGTTCATAAGTGACTCGACCGTTTTTTACAAACGCAGAAATGAGCATGTTTCGAATATGCAGATCATTTGAAAGCATTTGCAGATTCTCACAACAATTGCAGATATCTTCGGTGAGATAAAGCCATGGGGGAAATTATCTCATTCGCTTTTACTTCGAGTATATTGCACTTTATGTCAACTTGCGTGAGTTGTGCGATCTTTTTGCCTCACCTCGTCACTGAAATAGTCCTGCATGTCGGCAACGGCAACTAATAAAATAGCTTTCCCCGTCAAAGTCCGACATCCGTCATCGAGAACACGAGACACGGCAGCTCTAGCATGGGCGAACGAGGCGGCTCTTCTGGAATTTGGAGAATTGTCGGAGGCAATGTCCAGGCAGATTTGCGTGCTTACGATTCCTGTGCGGAAACCGATTAGGAGGCCTTAGGTAAACTACTACTCAAAAGGTAGGTCATATGATTCATTTGTGGCCAGGATAAAACCATGAGCTTCTGCCCAATACCGTACTTCTTACAGGCGGACCAATAAGCGGCTTCCTCTAGTACGGTACTGAGCGGGAGTTCAGAGGTGGATTTCTCAGCCGCCAATTAACCGATAAGCTGTCAATCGGGCAATAGCTTAACGAAGTGTTTTACTCCGATACATTAGAAAATTAAGCCCCCGTTTCGCCTAGGCACTGGCTGCGAATGGATCACGCAATCACAACTCGGAAATCTTACCATTTTTAGTTAAAAACGAAAAAGTGGCCCCTTACCTTGCTGAGTACACGACAATGTGACCATGTGTAGAATTTGCAGATTTGGCTGTTAGCCAGGAATGATAAGCACCCAAATGCAAATCCACAGCAAAGCGGTGATCGTTCCAGTGTACATCAATTGGCACAGTTCCAACTAAACAGGCACATACGAGATATCGAAGTATAGGACCAGAAATTAACCTCCGATTTGGCTGGGGTCCCTGACAGCTCGAAGTATTTCATTGTCCACTCCGAGCAGCGCAACGAGGAGAACATCCAAAGGAATTGGATCTGCGCAGAGTACGGACATCTGAAAAATACAAGCGTGACTTATTTTGAAATTTAAACGTTAGGTGGGCGGGAGAGGAGGGGGGGGGGGGTGGGGAGAATAAGAAGAGGTGATCGATGGAAGTGAGCCCTGAGATAAAAGAAACAAATTATTATGTCGATTATTGATTCTTTCGTCAGCTTCAGAATATTACAGTACTTGCTACTTTCCTGTCCTCCCCCACCCCTTTCGCCGGCCACACTGTAGTCAATTAGCTGATTACCTGTATTTTCAGCGCACTCCTCCGATCCAGTTGTGAAGCACATACCGCATCGCAGATTCGCATCAACTGGTCCCGCCTGGAAAGCCTTATCCTCAAATTGGCCCTTTCCGAGGAAAAACGTTCTCTACCCAAAAATACTGCTACAGTCGCTGGTTCTACTCCAGTTGCTCTCCGACTCGGATGAACCTGCGCCAATGAAGATTCCGCAAGTGCTCTCAGCCAGACTCAAACCCTAAATTGCAACAAATGAGACCTTCAGGGATACTGTAGCTGGAGCTGGGCTAACCTGTTGATGTAGATACGGTAAGAGATCGTAATGACTTGGATCACAGACAAGCACGTAAACTGGAGGCAGAGGTTCTGACCCCATTCCCAATGTACCCGTACTTGATCCGAGGCAAAACTTCGTAGTGCAATCCCTGGCGTAGTCTAGTGACCCTGACGAATCTGAGACAAAAAATTTATTTCCTTGAGTCCGAGATTTTCCTGTAGAAGGTTTCTTGCTAACCTAGCAAGAACAGCTGGGTTTTGTCGCCATTCCTCCCATCCTCAGTTTCTTCAGCACCGTAACAACGGATGGTGGCAGGACCGCTTGCTGTTAAAAATGGCTCGTTGTGCAGTAGAACCTGAAAAGCTACGAGGTCTATATGTCTTTGATACAGGCAAAAATTTCTCACATTCATATCCGTAATGAACTGCGCTACCATAGCCATTTCGCCGTGAACAGAGATGTCGATGATGTGGCTTGCACAAACGTTGTTTTGCTTTTTTCTAAAAAATTATGTAAAAAATTATTCAGTATCTTTCACATTCTGCAACATAGTGTCAATTCCCAGTATTTTCCGACCATTCAAAAAATCCCAAATAAGCTTAGGAAAAAATTTTACGCGAAAAGTTATGGATTATACACATTGTACAAAAGCTTTGTAGCACCATCATCAGCTTTCAAAAACGGGAGCCCTTTTATTTCAAAGCCACTTTTAAGGATAGTGATGAATACAAACGCTTTTCTCTAACGATTATTTGCCAAGAATAAGCTTCAAATGGTCTGTTCCAAGTAAACTTGACAGTTACCTTAACCTATAAGATAAAGTAGAGAAGGCTTGTTAAGAGTATGAATTGCAAAAGAAATGATACGTCTCAGCTTTTTTCAAATATGACTTTTTATTTTTATTTGTAAATCATCGACTTTGATAACATAAGAAAATGAAATAACTTCTGGAACACATTTCTACCCTTACCACTCTGCTAGGAAATTACGCGCGACTCTTTTTAACTTAATATGTGAGAATGCACACCATGCGCGGAATCAGACACACCTTACCAGCAATTCAGTAAAGTGGAAATATGTGCTACTTGATCAATCAAAAGAAAGGGCAGAGGAAAACAAGGGAAATTTTTCGAAAATCAACTACCTAACCCATAAGTCGTGAAGTAGGGAACGTGATGTGCAATACGCATATCAAGTTATAAGTGACACAATATATGTGACAAAGCTTAGAATCAGTGGAAGTTAAAGTTTTGAATATCATCGGACATGGCAACAGCGCTAGTTTTTCGCAAAAAAAAATCGGTCAGCAGTTCATATACTTCGAAATTTCTCATAACCAATATGAGTTTAGCAAACCTTTGAAAGAACATAGCAATTCCTTCGCGAATGGCCAGTAAAGCACAAGCAGAAAACGCTGGGCAGTCGTTAAGAGCAGGACGAGCCAGAAAGGATATAAAACGCCGGATGATAGCATCGCGAAGCTCGAACAATCGCGAGAGTTGGCGATATCTGGGAAAGAGCCATTTTCTTTTTGACAAAACTTTTTTTTTTCAGAAAGTATACCTGAAATCGTCTTGCAGAAATTCTTTAATTCGCAGCATTTCCCTTTCTGATATGAGCAAAGTCTCATTTTTGAAATCGCATCGGCTTGATCGGACAACGTCAATGAACAGCTCAACGTTTTCCAATAAACATTCGCGAAATTCAAGTTCAGCTTTTTTGAGGAGATCGTGCTAAATTCGGACAGTTAGCTTAAAAACCAAAAACTGACAGTTGTTTCGATACTCACTTGAAAACGGTCATAGACCATAGCAGCTTGATTTGGAGGCAGTGATTCATAAGCGGAAAAACCCTAAAAAGTCAGTTTTTTCTTAAATTCCGAGAATGTTTCAAAATCCAAATGAGTCACACTTACTTGGAGAAAAATGCTAACATCTTGCAGGGGTTTGCCAGGAGTTACTTGGGGGGTGTCAGACAGGAGAAACTCGAATTCTTCTTCGAGTCTTTCCTTCCGTTGCTCGGTTTCTACAGCTCTCTGAAAGTCCGACGTACGTTAGAAGATAACTTCATAAATCAAAAAAGAAATAAATTTAGAGCGCTATGAAATTGCAAAACTCTGGAAAATTTTTTACATTCTCAAACTTCAAAAATTTCTATAATATTTTTTTTACGCATTGAGACTTCAGAAAGTGAATATTTGTAATGCTAGTTGCAGAAAAAGTTTTGGGAATTCATTTTACGCTTCAAAACCCCACATAACTTGATCTGAAACTCAAAAATTGGAAAATTATTTTTGAAACTGCAAAAAAATTCAAAAGAAATTTTTTTTTACGCTTTGAATCCAACGACATTATTTGAGCTACTTTTCTAGTTATTTGTTTCCCACTGCAGACGAATGATTTTCGAAAGAAATCTCAAGGCGTAAAGATGCAGTCAAAGGATGAATGGCAGAGAGAAGAGAAAGGAAGAAAAGAAGAATTTTCGAAAAGTTTACCTGATAAGCTTCGAAAGCCTGTCGTGCCTCATTTCTCAACAAAATCTCAGCTGGTATCCGATTGTCTACGGAAACGGACTGTGTCATTCGTTTTTCCTGTTCTGTTGGTAGAGGATCTAATTGTTTTCCTAAAAACAAACTCCTCTCATAGAATCACCGGTCTATGCAAAATTTTACCTAATTGTCCCAATGGCTGAAAAAACTCATCAAAAAGTGGATGCGAATGGATCATATGATTTGCCGCTGACCAGCTCAATTGTGCTACGGTTGATTTATCCAAAAGTGTGGCAAATACCCGAGGAAGATTCGGCAACAGTGCTCGTAGCCTAAATTTTCAAACCTATCTTATGCCGCACAGAAAAACCTAAAAATTCCCAACCTGGCAGCCATCCAATGTTCCCTAGCCTCATTCACATGAGTGTCATACACCTTCTGGGCTGTTGCTTCACCATAAATCCTCACAAAGTTACAATAATCCGGCTGTCGTTCCAAACACCGCTCACGAACTAGTCTGAAAGTCCAAAACTATGTGGAAAATGGCTACATATATGGATAAAATTGCAGACCTAGGCCATGGCAATCGTATAGAAGGCCAGTTTTCTACAGGAAGTAAAGCTTGCAGTAGGCGGGTAAAGGCTATCCTAAAAGATGGGAAAATCAAATGTGAGAAAGAATTGGGTGATAAGTCAAGTGCCATAGATTAATCTTTTTTGGTACAAAGGCATGTCCACGACAATTTAGGACTGACAATGAGAGGAGGTGGAAGGACGAGGCTAACAAAGTCATTGCTCCATCGATATTTTGACAGCCCGATTAATTTGCCACCAAGACAACGCGAAACTCCAGCCCAGACCTATCCTTTCCTGACGGACCAATCAGCGTCCTCGGTTACGGTAGAAAGTACGGTTTGGACTGGGGTTCAAAATCGAAATTTTCGGCCGCAAATGAATTATGAGGGCTACCTGAATCATAAGGGATACCTGAATTTTTTTTAAAATTTTTCAAAACCACTCAGTAATTTGAAGGACGGTTACGATGTATCTGCATGCCTAAAAGCTTCTCTAAACTACCACATATTACGTTTTTTGTCGCAATAATTTCGTCTCGGAAAAACAAAAAAGCATTTTTAAAATTCTGAAATCTATTCTAAATCGCTATATCAGCAGTTCAGCAATTGCTCATTATTTTTTTATTGATTTTATGGTATGCTGCCGACTGATTTGAGACGATAAATACGTCGCGACTGAAAATCTATCACGTTTCCAGACTGAAATGAACACTCCCCCTAAAGATTCAAGTGCAAGCCTCGAAAACCCCCAGATTTAGCAGCGCAAACTTTTTCACCACCAGCTCTGCAATCACCATACTGATTGACCATCTTCTTCGCCTAGCACTTCCGCTCTAGCACTTCCTTACATCCGCACAGCAAAAACGTTCTCATTTCCTCAACGAGTGCAATTGCTAGCATAAGATTTCCATTCTTAGTAGTGCTTAGCAATTCAGATGAAAGCTTAGCCTATGCGTGTGTGTTGTCGTGCCGGCTGGTCCATCAAGACTCGTCAGTAATTACCCGGTGAAAGTGGACAATTATTCATGCTAAGCCCTTCCTCAGCGCATACTTGAAACTCTTGCGAAACTAGAAATGGAGCCTCCCACGCGCGCATAAATTACCCACCTCCAACTGGTTAGGGCGCTTTCGAAACGTTCGCGCGAGGAGAGCCAAAAATGTGGACGAGTTGTTGCATGCTCAACAAAAAGCTTCACATCTTGTAGCGTAGTACTTCTAGCAGGTGAAGTGATAGGTGTACAAAAGTGGACGAGCATTCGCAACGCATTGACCAACCATGGGCGCAGGCGACAAGCTGGCCAATCATAGGCGCCGACCAATCAGCCGCAAACGGCACGCTGACCAATCATAAGCGCAGGCGACGCGCTGACCAATTACGGGCGCGCCGCTACTGCGAGAGGTACAAAAAGGTACCCTTCCCCCTCTCATGCGGAAACAAATCGAATGATTTACGATACCTAACGTCTCGATTCCGTTCCGTCACACCCTTCACCGCTTCGGAAAATGGTTGTATTTTCAACCGCAGCTTACTCCGAGAAGCTAAACAAGCCGCACTCACGAATAACTCGTCCACGTTCACATTCATCAAAGCGGATACCTCAACCTAAAAAAAAATGGCGGACAACTGACACAAAACCAGTCATATGAGTGGAGATGTTGCATACCACGTTAATATGTGTGCTTTTCAGTTCTTTCTTGATTAAAAGGGCATGGAGAGCTTTTTTCGCTTCTTCATCAGCATTATCCGCTTGGCTGAACGCTATGACGACAGGTCTTTTTGTTTTAAGTACATTCGTCAGGATCGTCGAAGCAATGGAGCATTGGCTAAAAAAGGAAACATTGCTGGTAACACGATAGAATAGCAAAAAAAGAATGGATGCGAAAATTAGCTGAACGAGTGAAAATGAATTTTTTCAGAATCTCCCATCAAAATCTTGTAATTTGGGAAAACTGCTTCATAAAAGTCGGCAGAGCATTTTGATTGTTCGAACTAAAATTTTTAGAAGATTTTACCTCTCAAAGGTCCTTCCCTCAGTTCTGCTTGAATCGAATACATATATGAAAACATCTACTGTACACTTTCCATCAGGCAGAACATGCTGATCAAATTCAGCCTCGAGACCAAGCTGTTCCTAAAAGTTAAGAACTGTAAATTTACAAACATCAGGACCCTTGAACCACTCACTTTTTGTATGTACATAAGCTTGTCCCTGCTTTCAAGTCGAATTTGACAGCATCGTTTCGCATAGGGTTCTGACGTCGATGGGCCAGCGATTGGCTCATAGGTTTCGTCATCGAGGAATTCTGAAAAAAAAAACATTTGAAAACGCCGAAGCTAACTACTAAGTCTCAAAATATTGATTGCAGAATGAATTAAGGAGTTCTAGCGCTCGAAAAAAATAGTTGTTTAACTATGAGAATAAACCTTGTGGGAAATTAAAGTAGGGCAGAATTTTAATGGAGTTTGAATCAAATATCAACAAGATTCGTGGTTCCAAACTTTGCTCTGCTTGAACCAAAATTTCCAGCAGAGGATTATCTTGTTGGAAAAAGTGTCCAAGGTGACTGGCAAGTTTGAACTGCAGAAAACACTTATGACCAAAAATGCTTAGGCATATGATTAGACGACGACTCTGTTGCTTAGATGTATTTCGTTGAAAGTATAAATTTACAAAAATTTACATTATCATGCTTGATAAGATGATAAGACAAAAAGCTGATCATTCCATTGCGCAATTATTCGAGGTAGCAAACATGCTTGGAAACGATTTATGATTATTTTTATGTCAAAAACAAAAACCGACAAATTGAGTACAGACATTCTTTAAAAACAACGTGCCAATACACATTTTGCTTGTCTTATTGCAACTAAGACAGCCAAAAACCCACTCCAGCAAAAATAAATAAAATGGGATTTTGCAAAAACGAAATTCCAAATCAGAAACATGTGAAACGCTGTACTATCGGTACGAACCTGTATATTACATAGTTTGATCATTCACTCCTCTATCATAGCTTGTACAATAAAAAATTTGAAACACCTATTTTTCGTTTAGTCCTCAGTCTACGGAAAAAAAGCAAGAAAAGGTAGTAACTTCGCGATTTAAACACTTTGAATAAATTATCTCAGTTCTACAAAGACACAGAATTTATTGTAGATATCAAAACTAAGAAGTAATTATAAAGTTCCTTCGCATTCGTCAATTTAGTACCGAATCATCCCGCATACTCCGAAAAACAACGATTTACCTGTTTGTTCGATGACCCGTATCGTTACTGGGCCGGTCGAGTCGTCAAGGCTGAGTTGTCGTTCACCCCAGTACAACCAATGGTCGTTGTTTATCACCGGTGAACCGCCGAAATCTGTCTGCAAAAACTCTCTCTGGGAAAAGTACGAAACTATTGGCTTTCTTTTTTTCTGCATTCAGCCGTCGCAATATTTTCTCGAGCAGTGGCCAGTTAATGAGGTTATTGGCGTGTCTCGAAACGTTGCTGAATAGCTAAGCTGCTCATCACGGTGCAATTATAGTTTCAATGAGAAATGGGTGCTCTTTCGAAATTACACGGGTTGCTGCCTGCAGATGGAGCTCGGGGGGGGGGGGGGGGGAGGGGAAGAGCAAACTCACAATCTTGTCCATAGAGAGGGAGAATGTAAAGTTTCGCCTAGATAAAAACATTCCTAACATTTCCATCGTTAGCGCAATATTCCCATGCAACTGCTTATAATGGTCCATAGCCTAATCATATTATGTCTTGACATGTGCAACTGCGCACAATGCACACCACTGCGCGTATAATCCTGGATGTTGATCATGGAACGCATTTCTTCCGGATAAATGCTTTTTTCACCGTCTTTCCCTCTTTGTTATTGTTTCCAGGCACCATCAAAAATATTCAGTCAGATTTCCATTTATCGTTCATTCGTTGACCGTACGGACTGCCGACCGCGTGGCGACTGCGACGCGTGCCTTCTAAACTTGCGAAAAAGTGCCAAGTTGGACCGTGGCTTAAGATGAGAAGAATTCTTTGTTTCTTTTCTACATTATAAAGATGAGAAGATCCTCTGTTTTCTTTCTATTCATCTTTTCTACGAAAACATCATGCACGCGCAGCGGTCGCCGCGCGGTCAGCAGTCGTTACGGTCAACGAATAAACGATACCCGTTTACTTTGTGCATTACACACCATGCGACATATTCCACGACTTTGCTTGCAAAATGATATTTTTTAAGGATTTTTCTTTCGTTTCCTCTACTTTTGAGCGTGATGAGGGTCAAAAAAGCACGGTAGATTATCTTCTATCTATTTCAAAAAAAAATTTCCAATATTTTACAAGTGAGGAGTCGTGGGGTGCCGCGCATTGTCTGTAAAATCACATCTTGAGTTACAAGTGGCCTGTACATGAAACTGTCAGAGGAATCCGGGACAAGACGCACAATTTGAGCAATTTGTGCAACCGCACTTTCTCTAATGTTAAATGAATACAACTCAAGTACATGAACTAACCCTTTCCGAATCAATTTTTCATGTATTCGTCGTGAGGAGAAAACGACGAAGTGCCCCTATCGACGTAAAAGTTTTCTACACAGAACGCCAGTCACATCAACTTGTCTGCCACGCAATGAAATTCGTTGAGACGTTCGGAAATTGCAATGTGCAATATAAATTTTTGCGAAAGTACATTAAAAGTGCAAGGCCGCGAGCGCGCAAAAGAACTTCGTAAGCAAGTGAAATTTCACTTCATCACGCTCTCTTTACCACAACTTCGTCCGACCCCATCACTCTACTATTCACTTCCGCTCACGCTACGACATTTTTGGAGTTTGGGAGGCGAGGCGCGCAGCCATCTTGATCAAAAATTCTGGGGAAGGAAAGGGGGGGGGGGTCAAAAACAACGATCGCATAGGGGCTAATTTGGCAGAGAGCGCGATTTCTAGTCGCAACTAATGATATTTGTGAGTCACACAAACAAATGCAGCGATTTGCAATTCTGACGTCAATCGCGACGCTGCAGAGCTCAATTACCGCGATTGTATCACAGCTAGGAAGTGACGATTTTGACGCAATTTTTGGGAAGGAAGTAATCGCTGCGACTTGGCGATTCATAAGGTAGCCTGTGTATAAATGATAATGATAATGTTCATGACGTATAGGCGGATCATCGCAAGCAGAGACAGGACGCCAATGCGTCCTTTCGAGATAGTACCTCTTTGGGAGAGACGCAGACTGCTAAAGGAATGAAGGTGCGCCTAATGTGAGAGACGCAGACGGGGTTCGCAGTGACGTCCATTCTCTGCGCGCGATGACTCATCTATGCATACCTGCGATAGCACCGAGCAATGTTCCGGGAAAAAATCGTCGAAATCCCCACGAACAAAGCGATTACAGATCAGGGATTTACCGACTCCTTTTGAGCCTTTTACTGCTTCTCTACCACTTACACCGATCACACTGACGGTGACCGTACGCTGCATCACGGCATTTCTGCAAAATTACGTTAGTGTGTTACATTAGTCTTGTCATTTAAGAATAGTGCGACGTAACATTAGCAATGAAGAAAAAAAGCTGTGGAATGTAGAAGTGTGACTGAGACTTCCGCAAAAAGTCGTCGTTTTGTGTGTGAAACAGCTTAGAAAGTGCACTATTCAAAGCTTTTGTTAAGAATTGTACGGAAGTGTTTTTATATAGCAATTGTCGCTTAAGAACGTCAACTGATAAACAATGAAAGCGAAGTGAGAGCTTTCTATGTAGTCAGAAAAGCATTTAGATAGTCGTAAAGCAGAAATTCATAATGGAATCATTTGTATGTGAAAACATGATGTTGCACATCACACACGAAATCTCACGTTTGAAAAGGTGAACAGTAAGACAGCCCGTTTCGATCAAAAAATTGTTGTAAATTTATTAAAACCTCATTTAGGCTTTGTCTAGAGTTTCATGCCAGCGCAATGCCGGCGTTATCGATCGATCAATATGGGGCGCGTCTGCATGGGTGATGACACGGCGCTGGCACGGTACTAGCACAAGAGCAACTGTAAACTCGGCTTGACACTCAAGGAGAGAAAAAACAAAATAATACTTCTTATTCTGTTTGGGACAACTGGTCCTATATCATCTAGGATGCAGTAATAGACAAAAAAAACTCAGAAGCAAGTCGTAAGATATCGCACGTTTTGTGCAATGCACAAGTCATGTCACAAGCGACTTGAATGTACAGAAAGCATAAGATCAAATGAAAAGCCTAGGAATTATTATCAAAAAAGATGACTATAGAGATTGAGAGATATAAGAAAGCAAATCATCCAGATCTAAAGTGCATAGTCGTCGCAAATGTGCTAAGAAATAGTTGCAGGAAACCTGCTATCCTATAGCTTTCACTCATAATTAGCCGTACAAAAAGATAAAATTGCCACATGGAAAAAACTTTCGTAGGAATCCAGCGCAGACCTAGTTGAATAGAAAAAACACGAATGAATGGCTGTAGTCGTGGATGAGACGATTATGACTCCTATGGGGCTAAAAGAAGCGTAATTCGTGACAAAGCATGTATTATAAGGCTTTAGGTATAAGATATGAGAAAAACTTGCAATTACACAATGATAACCTTTTTTGGATCAGATGCACTTTAAATGAAGGTTTCAAACGCAGCTAAAGAGGAATGCAGTTCTATCATTGGAAAAAAAACGTAGGGTTTTGGGAAGAGGATAAGGCAAAGGGATTTATAGCGAAGCAGGAGATAATCGGATGATTCCGACACGTCCCAGAAGGAAAGTACGACGAAGGGGTTTAGTCAATAAATTCAACTTCAAACAGATTCATCGTGCCTTAGTTAGCGTTGTAAGTAGTTTTCGTTACCTCCTCTGTATTCAAATAACATTTTCAAAAATTAACTGAAGAAATGAGTGCTTGTCCAGAGCACTGAAGAACGTAATTAATCTTGTACTGCAATTATCAGTTGTAATCATTTTAATTATTCATTTAGCATGCCTAATGGTACGTCAGTAAGCACAAATTCGACGGCAGTAGTTTAAGTATTCAAAGAAAAAAAAAGAAACCAAAAAAAAACTGATCCTATATGGTGGAACTGGCAAAATTCAAAAAGTAGTAACTTAGCTTTACTTTTTCTGACACTCAATCTGATATTTGCTTACTTATTCATTTCCGTACTTAATCATTTACATCACGTAATCAGAGTTCACTCAAAAAGAAACAGAAGCACAAGATCATCTCTTTGAAATCACAGGAATAGATGTGGCGGAGGAAAATAACAGAAATAGCCAAGTCCAGCATACTCAAATTTCTTACTCTGTGCTTAGTCACAATTTTGTCAAATTAAAGAATTCACAAAAAAAATTCACCTCTTAACCTATTGACGATGGAGCAAGCTAGGAGTGCCCGGGACTTCGCGAATAATTCTGTTTTAGAGTTGTATTTTTTCCTGAACCCCTAAGCCTAATCTCCGACTGTGAGTAAAAATCTACAGGCTTAGACATTCTTATAAAATTCAGTATCATCAAATAACGCAAATCTAAAAATCCACACCAAGAAAGGGCAAAAGAAATTATGTAAAATTGGATAAATGATCTTTGTGTCTGGGTTGAAGGCTTGTCTTTTTCCAGAAAAATTTGCAAATTTCTAAGCACTAAATGCTTTGAAAGTATAAAGTAGGCTATAGAAGCGATCACCACGAGCTTTCCGGATACAAATTGAATGTCACAATGCCCCGTATACACATTTCGAAAAAGTAGTTGACTCATCACGCTCTAAGCCGGTTTCTTCTACAGATTTTGCGTCCTTCATTGATGCTGACCGCAGCAGTGATAAGGACACATTCGCTAATGCGGAAGAGTACTCTCAATTACGTTTGCAGACATGGCTTCGTTCGTGGAATGGAAATTTCCAGAAAAGCTTTCGAAATGGATACGTAACACTAAGCCATAATGAAGCGAGCGAGGTAATAGCTAGAATGAGGCTGGAAAGCAGATGGGGGCGGAGCGCGTGCGCAACTATTCGAAGCGAATTTTCAAGAGACTCGGAAGAATGTCTATTGGCCCATTCCAATGTCAAGCATCAAAATATATGAGTAAAACTGGATTTAGAGAATCCAGCCGCTAATACTACTCAGTTCTTTTTTTGTCTTTTTCTCTCTCTATTTTGCTCTTTTTTCCTTTTTCTAAGCTCATTTTTTGGCCCTAAAATTACGCTCCTGAAAGAGTTGGTTTGCACCACATTTATGAACGTACCTAAACAAACAAATAAATGAATAAATAAGCAAATAAATAAATAAATATGTAGGCATACGACGATAATGAACCGAACGAGATAATAGCTAAATAGAGCTGGAAAGCAGATGTGGGCGGAGCGCGTGCGCAGCTATTTAGCCAAATAAGATATGTAAGAAATAGCGTCTATAGATAATTCGTCTGAAAAGAGACAGCTAAGAATTTATAGAGTCTAGATTTATTCACAGGAAGTCCTCCACTAGCACTAACGAACGACTTTTACAACAAATTCCTCCAGAATTTCCAGAAATTTCAAATCAATACCGAACAAAGACAGATTCCCGGACGCATTTACAATGAATCATCAATGAAAAGGCAGTTTTCGGTGTTGATATGTGGGAATGAGAGCGAGTAATAGTCGGTCGAAGTGCAGCGAAAGATATTTCGGACAAAAAAAGAAGAGTTTTTTGAAGTGCGAATTCTATAAGCGATTTATATGCATAGAATTGTGAGAGTCGCATAAAAAGAATGAGATGTCAGACATTCCAAAGATATTTGTACAAAATATAAGTGTATTCAAAAAGTACATTTGGGCTATTTTTACGCTGTTATAGGATCTATAATTGTGTACTAGAGCGACTGATCACCTAAATTTGTGCAAATATTGCTAGCTATATTGTTTTGAAAGAGAACAACACAATGACAATAGTAAACAGTAGAAAAGTATGATAAATAAAGCTATAAACGTTGATGTGGGGTTTCAAAAATAAGCAAAGAAGAAGATTTTGCCTATCACTGAATACAGCTACCAGAGCATAGCAGAGTTGGCGTATTCACACGCTGGATATCGTTTTTTGGGGGAGAAGTAAAAGGGAAGTTCTTAGGAAATTTTTGATACCAAGCACAATTCCTACACATAATAAGCCCGAAATTGAGGCTCTAATGTCATTCAACCTATTATACGTCAATTAGTTACAAACACGATCAGTGCACCTTCACACGATTCACAAAGTGTTAAAACACGACTTTATGCACAAAAAGATAAACAATCGGTTTGTTTACAGCGACTAAGCATACAGTGCCATCAAATTCGGTATATAGCTTTGTCACGACAAAGAAGAGATAAATATGAAAATTTGTGAAAAAAATTATGTGAAGGAAGGAAGTTGTGTTTTTCCATTTTAGGTTGCTCACGGGCAACAACCTGGGAGCGCCCTAGATTACACGAGACCAAACAAATTCATAATTTACCCGCTTCCTCACATGATTTTTCGAAACTTTTACATAAATCTATTCTCCAGCTATTGATGCTCTATTTATGAGCGCTCACTTTAGCCCAAGTTCCGACATCTCTGCTTTGCTACGGGACTGACGACAAAAAAATCTTCGTCTTTTTGCCTTCTGTTGCTTTATCCTCAATTTTCTGTTGTTTTTTTTTCTCACTTTTATCCACACATCGTATGCTGCAGCCCATAGCCCTTCTACCACAGATCCACAAAAAGTTATTCGTAAATTCCGCATTATCAAAGGGAAGTTTTCACGATTTTCAAATTCCTCATGTGCAGGGCTCTAACAGCTACTAGAACGCACATTTACAGCAGCGCTGAGACATGGTAAACGAAGATGTCAAGAAAGTGAAATGTCGAAGTGCTCAAACCAGAATTGTGAAACAACTTCCTGGAGCATAGAAAAGCAAACCCGTCTTCAGTGGCTGATAGTTCGAAAGGTGTCGCTTCAAATATGACAAACAGACTTTTCGAAACCAGTAAAGAGCAGTGGCAGCAGAAGTGAGAGAGGAAGTAGGGGCGAACTGAAGAGAAGTAGATGAGTCCCAAGACTTTCAAGATCAAAAGCAATATTGTAAAAGCATAATTTTTCTGATTCATGCTAATACGAAGATTTTTGCTTTTTTATTCTTATCAGCGTTTGCACTTCCGCCTTCTTTTGAATGGTTAAATCGCCTCTCGCAAAATTTTGAAAGACATTTGGGAAAAAAATTGTCTCACCAACAGATTTTAAAGGGCTTAATGCTAATGCTAATGCTTCTGTTCTTTCGGAAAAAAAGCTCTAAACGTGCGCTGCTTATCACCAGAAGAAAAGTTTGCAGTCACCACTTAAGATCTTTATTTTGGAAGGAAAAAGTATAGAAAGCTTTGTGCTGAGAGAAGAAAAAAATGTAACGTCTTGCGCCACCCAAAAAAATTCACGACTGATTACAGAAGTAAATCAGAAAATTTTAATAACAGTAAAATGGAATAAAAAAACATAAAATTAGGC